ATATAGGTTTTTAAAGTATTCCCTTATAATGTTCTGTATCTTTCTGGTGTCTGTTGTGATGTTTCCCCTTTCATCTCTGATTTTGTTTGGAGGTGCTCTTTCTTTCTTTTGGTTAACTGGGCTACCGGCCTGTCAGTCTTGTCTGTCTTTTCAAAGAGCCAGCTCTTGGATTTGTTGATTCTTTGTATTGTTTTCTTTGTTTCGATTTCATTAATTTTTGCCCTGATTTTTGTTATTTCTTCTTGTCTGCTGGATTTGGGTTTCATTTGCTGTTGTGTTCCAAGTGTCTTGAGTTACAATGTTAAGTCATTTATTTGTGATCTTTCCGATTTTTTTTTTTTTCGGTCTTTTTGAGACAGGGTCTCCCTATAGCCTGAGCTGTCCTGGAACTCACTATGTAGACCAGGCTGGCCTTGAACTCACAGAGATCCGCCTGCCTCTCCCTCCCAAGTGCTGGGACTATAGGCATGTGCCACCACGCTCGGCTTCTTTCTGATTTTTTAATGTAGACACTCAGAGGTATAAAGTTCCCTCTAAGGACTGCTTTCAGTGTGTCCCAGAGGTTTTGTTGTGTTGTATTGTCCTTTTCGTTTAGTTCCAGGAATACTTTTATTTCTTTCTTAATTTCTCCTTTGACCCATTCAGCATTCAGGAGTGTGTTGTTTAATTTCCATGTGTTCATGTAGTTACTGGGGATTCTTCCAGTGTTGATGTTAAGCTTTATTGCATTGTGGTCTGATAGAATGCATGGAATTATTTCAATCTTTTTGTATTTGTTGAGGTTTGTTTTGTGCCCCAGTACGTGGTCGATTTTGGAGAAGTTCCATGGGACACTGAATAGAAAGTATATTCTTTAGTGCTTGGGTGGAATATTTGGTAGATGTCTGTTAGGTCCATTTGATATATGGTATTGTTTAATTCAGATGTCTCTCTGTTAACTCTCTGCCCTGTTGACTTATCTAATGGAGACAGTGGGGCATTGAAGTCACCTACTATTAATGAGTTGTGATTAATCTTGTTCTTAATGTCCTGTAGTATTGTTTTTTGAAGTTGAGTGCACCAGAGTTTGGTGAATATATGTTCATGATTGTAATATCTTCTTGGTTTATTGTTCCTTTGATCAGAATGATGTGACCTTCTTTGTCTCTTCTGATTAGTTTTAGTTTAATGTCTGTTTTATCAGATATTAGAATTGCAATGCCTGCTTTTTTCTTAGTATCATTTGCTTGGTATATTTTTTTCCATCCTTTCACCTTAAGGTAGTGCAGACAACAAAAAGATGGGTTTTGTTTCTTCATTCATTCAACTAGTCTGTATCTTTTGACTGGGGAGTTCAGTCCATTGGTATTTAAAGTTATTAATGAAAGATGTGTATTGAATCCTGTCATTTTTGTTTCTGTTCACATTCTTGATATAGCTCTGCATTTCCACAGTTAATACCTTCATTGAATTTCTTTCCATCACCCCTTTTGTGTATAGTCATTCCTTTCTTCACCTCTTTGTATTGCTTCAAGAATTCTCTGAAGGGCTGGTTTTGTGGACATGAATTCTTTCAGCCTATTTATGTCATGGAAGATTTTTCTTTCCCCTTCAACTATGATAGACATATTGGCTGGGTAAAGTAATCTGGGTTGGCGTCTGTGGTCATTTAGAGCTGGGAATACTTTGGTCTAGGCTCTTCTGGCTTTCATAGTTTTCACTGAAAAGTCAGCTGTAATCTTGATGGGTTTCCCTTTATATGTGATTTGCTGTTTTTATTTTGCAGCTTTCAGTATTGTCTCTTTGTTCTAAATGTTTAGTGTTTTTACTATGATGTGCCATGGAGAGTTTCTTTTCTGGTCCTGTCTGTTTGGTGTTCTATATGCTTCTTGTATTTGTATGGGCATGTCTTTAATTTTGGGAAATTTGCTTCTACAATCCTGTTGAAGATCTGTTCCATACCATTGTCTTGAGATTCGTTTCCTTCCTGTATGCCTATATACGTAAGTTTAGGGGGGTTTTTGGTGTCACACAATTCTTGAATATTCCATTCTTGTGCTTTTTTAAATTTTTCATAATCCTTGCTTGAGTGGTCTAATTCATCCATTTCTAGTCTTGATGTCCTGGTTTCCATTTCATTCACCCTCTTGGCGAGGCTTTCTCCTGTCGTTTCTAATTGGCTTACTGAGTGTTTCACTTCTTCATTTTCGCCTGAGTATTCTTCAATATTTCAAACTCTACTGAATTCTTCAGAAGTTTATCCCTATCTTCCTTCAGTTCTTTGATTTCTTTCTTTGTGTGTTCTTTAAATTCACCGAATTCTTTTATCATGTTTATAATTGTTCTTTTGAGTTCCATGTCCTGTGTTATCTCTAGGGAGTTCTCATTGTACTCCTCTAGAGGACTATTGGTACTTGGGGGGAATATATTATTTTGGTTTTTCATGTTATTTTTTCTTTGTGACTTTGACATGTGACTTTCCTTTGTAGTTTCTGATTGTTGTGTGAGACTCAAGCCTTCCTTTGTTGAGTTTAGATCTGCTTCTTTTTGTAAACTTTATGTGCCTTTGTGGTTTAGTTGTTGGGCATGAAAAGCTGGTTGGTCTAGGCTTCAGGTTCTCTCTTTTGATTTTATGTTGGAGTGGCCTAATTGCTTTTGTCTTCAGGAGTTCCCACAGAGGCCCAAGTGAGATGAGGCTCAAATGATATCAGACTTTCTCTAAGGTATGAGTCCCTCCAGGAAAGATGCTGCCCTCAAGAATTTGGGGGCTGGGCTAGCCTGGGAGAAGGGCCCAGGATAGATGCTGGACTCAGGAAGCTGGTGGCTGTGCCACCCAGGAAAGTAAAGGAAGGTGGGGCCAGGACCAGGCCTAGAGAGTTCCTGGAGGCTGCAGGGAGGAAATGGCTTGGTCAGGATGCAGAGGATCAGGAAGCAGTGGCGGCTCTGGGTCGAGAGGTTAGCCCCGGTGTCTGGGGTGCCAAGACAAGAAATGGGCCTGTACCCAGCCTAGGAGGAGAGACTCGGAGGCGAGCTGGGAGGGTGAAAGAGGCTGGGGGAGTCAAGGTACACTGGACTTACCCAGGGAAGGTGCTGGGACCAGGACATGGGAGGCTTTGCAGCCCAGGGAAGTAAAGGTGACCAGGCTTAATTTTTAAAGGTTACATGCCACAGATACTGTACAACCAAAGTCAGGTATTTTCTGTACAAACTGAGTGATTTTAAATTTAATCATTGAGCGGCAAAGAGGTTAAGAGCACTGGCTGCTCTTCCAGAGGACCTGGGTTCAGTTCCCAGCACCCACATGGAGGCTAACAACTATCTGTAACTCCAGTTTCAGGGAATTGGTTGCCCTCTTCTGACCTCTGTGGGCACTACATGATTCATGTGTATTATTAACATATATGCACACAATGCACTCGTACACATAAAATAAAATAATAAATAACATTTTTAAATAAAATTTTGTCGTTAAGCAGTAGATGAGCCAGGTGTAGTGGTCCAAGACTAATTTTCTGTAGGTACTTGCAGCTGAGATAGTAGTACCAATTTGAGGCCAGCTTAGGATACATAGAGACCCTCTCAAAAATTAATGTGTCATGCTTGGTGGTACATACCTATAATCTGAAGAAGGCTGAGGTAGGAGGATCACGAGTGAGTTTGAAGCTACCATAGTGGTTACATAGTGAGACCCTGTGTCAAACATGTTAGAGATACTCTTTGTGTTTCATGGCACATGGTTCTGTTGTCCTTTTTTTTTTTTTTTTTTGGAATTTTTGAGACAGTTCCTTTAGCCCCAGCCGGCCTGAAACTCACTACGTAGACCAGGCTGGCCTCGAACTCACAAAGATCTGCCTGCTTCTGCCTGGGCGTGCTCCATCACGCCCAGCCTGTTGCCTTTTTTAAATGAAATGAAACAAAGCAAAGCAAAGAAAGCACCAGGGAGATGGCTTGACAACCTGAGTTCAATCCGTGGAACCCACATAAAGGTGGAAGGAGAGAGTAGATTCCACAAAAGTTGTCCTCTGACCTCCACATACACAGCACGGTTTATCCCCCCACTCACTCCCCAGTCATGCACACACACAATAATACATTTTTAATTGAGAAGAAATACATTCTTGGTTTATTGGGGAGAAAAAAGAAAGTGTAGATGATGGAACAATCAAAGAGGCTAATAAGGAAGACAGAACAATTAATCTCACTTGGTCACTTAGAGGATAGTATAAAGATATGGATGCTAAGTGGATAGTTTACAAACTAAGACTTAAAGTATAATTGTGAAATGTAAAATTAAGATTTATTTTCAGAGAGCAAAATGCTATGAAGTATTTAGATTCTCTTGTCACATGATATTGACCACCATTTTGGGTTTAAGAAGTAGGGTCATAAGTCAAGCATGGTGGTACACGCCTTTGATCCTAGCACTTGGGAGGCAGAGGCAGGCAGATCTCTGTGAGTTCAAAGCCAGCCTGGTCTCAATAGCTAGTTCCTGGCCCACTGGGGCTACAGGGAGTCCCTGTTTCAAAAAGACCAAAAAATAAAAAAAGAAGTAGGGTCATAATTTATAGCATTTTAGTTAGTCTTTAATTTTGCTTTTTTATTTAATTATTTGCTTTTTGAGATAGGGTCTCATCATGTAGCCCTGGCTGGCTTGGAGCTCACTATGTAAACCAGGCTGGCCGGAAACTCAGAAGGAATGGCCTGCCTTTGCTGGGATTAAAGGTGTGTGCTACCACACAGGACTGGTTTCCTTTCTGAATCAAATTACCTTAATAATGCTTATGAAAATGTGAGGTTTTTTTCCCCCCAAAGTACTCTGCAATTGCTGTCCTTGAACAATTTCCAATTACTTTACTTTCATCATGTAATTCAGCACTGTAAAGCAATATTTGTCTTTCCTCGCCCTTAGGCCTTGATGTTAAAAGTGAAGCATGTCAGCGGTTTTTCCGAGATGGATTAACAATCTCATTCACTAAAATCCTTACAGATGAAGCTGTGAGTGGCTGGAAGTTTGAAATTCATGTGAGTTTTCCATTTGACTTTAAAAGAGCAGATTATGTAATGCTCCTTTGGTTGGTGAAGGCAGGTGTGTGTATATGTGTTTCATATATAACATGTCCCAGGCACCAGAAAAGTCAGTGTTATAGAGGTAGTGAGAAATAAACTCACTATGCAGAAAAGGACAGTCAGGAAACCTAAACTCTGCTTTGTGGTTTAAAACCATAAGCTACTATTTAAATAGTTCTACAGGCTTAATTCAGTTTACAGTTGCCAATCGTTTTTAAAAGAAATTCCCTTTTAAGCAAGCGGACAACTTAGTGATCTCAGGTCTCAGGTCCCCATTGTCTCCAAAGTGTCTTGCAGAGTAAACACTTCAGTACCTATTGTTTATTAGCTGAAATTGGATTTCAGAAATTTTACAGAGTAAAAGAAGGTATATCTGGATTGATAATATACCATAATTGCTCAAAGCCTCAGTTCTTTCACTATGAAAATAGTTTTAAGTTATAAAGCAAATGATGCTTTTGTGCTCTGGCAACTATTTTCCGACTATGACCATGACTTTAAAATGCCAACATCTTCTGATTTAACAAGTAATTGTTTAGATTTAGAAATGCAAAGTTTGACAGTGGTGTCATTGAGACTAGCCAATCCCCTCCATCTTGGGTAAATGACATTATTTCAATTTTAGAATTGTTACTTAAGGTATAAGAATTTCAAAGGGGGAAAAATGGGCATTTTAATCTTGTCTGAGGTCATAGAACAGAAATTGACAGCTTATGGTACCTACCTTATTATTTAAGCAAATAACTCTTTAAAAGGAGGTACCATATAAATTATGAAGTAAATTAATTTGGTCATAGTACTAGTGAAATTGAATACAATTCAAATAAACCGTGTAGAAAAATGGAGAGATAATTTACTATTAAGATAAAGATAATTAGGATTATAAGATAGTTCTCTTGAAAATTGCAATGTTTTCACATTCTAAGTCACCTTTCTCCCATATATAACAGAGATGTATTATTAACAATACTCATCGCTTGGTGGAGCTATGTGTGGCTAAGTTGGCCCAAGACTGGTTTCCACTTCTAGAACTTCTTGCCATGGCCTTAAATCCTCATTGCAAATTCCATATCTACAATGGTACACGTCCGTGTGAATCTGTTTCCTCAAATGTTCAGTTGCCTGAAGATGAACTCTTTGCTCGTTCTCCAGACCCTCGATCACCAAAAGTATGTTGGTTTGTTATTTTCAAATTTAAATGTTAAAAATTGTTTGGCTCTGCCACAGAACTTTCAGTGATCTGAATTTCCTATTACTATGGCAAAGATTAATTTCATAGTACTCTGAAAGGGATTTTGCATTATTTTGTGTGGTTTTCATTCTTTATTTTGTACCCATACTTAGCTCTCTTTTGTTTGTACTGCTGTTGAGTTTTTTGTATAACACTAGGAGTTTTTTGGCATAGTCATAGCATTTTAGTGTTCAGTACTTAAGGTTGTTTTTTTGTTTTTTGGGTTTTTTTTTTAACTTTCTCCATGTAGTCTTCATTGTCTTTTGTTCAACCTGGAAATAATCATAGCTTGGGTTAATATAAAACAGACCATAGTTTTCTTTTGTAGTAATGGTAGAGGGGATTACTTCTTCGATTAAACACATCATGTACGGATCTGTAAGGCTGTGATAATTTTATGTCGTAAGATTTTGACTCCAAAATAAGAGTATCATATACGTGCTTAATAATACCTTAATTGTAGAAATTATAAAATGAGGATAGTAAATCTTTCAAATCTCATTTAATAAATATATACTTAAATATAAATTTCCTATAGCAGTATAAATAGATTATATACTTTTTTTTTGAGATAGGGTCTCAGTATATAGCTCTGGCTGCCTCTGCCTCCCAAGTGCTAAGCTTCAAGGCATGTATGTGCATGTGCCATCACACCTAGCAACTTTGTGATATTTCTTACTAGATAACTATTTAAATTTTATATAAAAACATTTATTTTAAAAAATGCTATATGTGAGCTGGGCATGGTGGTGCATCCCTCTAGAGGCAGGCAGATCTCTGTGAGTTCAAGGCCAGCCTGGTCTACATAGTGAGTTCCAGGCCAGCTGGGGCTGTAGGGAGACCCTGTTTCAAAAAACCAAAAACTGGAAAGAAAGAAGAGTGGGATATAAGTGTCATGAGGCAGAAGAGGAAATAGTTTGAATGCAGAGAACCAGCAAGAAAGGGAAAGGGAGAGAGAGAGGAGGGCTGCAGGAGGACGAAGAAAAACAGCATAATGATGTATATATACGGAAACGCACAGTCAAACCCAATTCTTCGTATGCTAACCAAAATATTAGTTAAAAAGAGAAAGGAAGAAAGAAATGCAGGTGGTACCCAATGTGGCATTTACTGTGCAAAACCTGTGAAATAAAATCCACATCCATTTTAAGCCAAGGGGGTCCCAAACTCCTGAGACCATGAGTTCCAGGCCAGCTGGGGCTGTAGGGAGACCCTGTTTCAAAAAAAAACTTTGTGTGTGATTGTATCACCCACACGTGTGTAAGTGCACTCATCTCATGCAAGGCCCACAGAGATCAGAAGAGGGTATCAAATCCCCTAGAACTGCAGTTATAGACAGTTGTTAGCTGCCACATGGGTGCTGGGACTTGAATCCAGGCCCTCTGCAAGAGCAGCCAGTGCTCTTAATCAACTGAGCTATGTCTCTCCAGCTCCAACACTGTGTTTCTTTTAATATGTGTTAACAGTATATGGTTTCTAAATTTACGCTGTAAGGGAGATATTTGAATGTTGTAGAGTTATTTTTCCCCCTCCAACCAGCCACAAAAATTGAGAGTCATGTACAATATTTAGTTTATTTTGTAGAGATTGAAATCACCAGCAGTGTTGAACTTTAGAATTACTTTTCAGTACATAATATTGCCACTAGATGTATTATTTTTACTTGCGTATTATCCAGTTATCAAAACATTGATAATCTTAAAAGTTTTATCTATACCTGCATTTACTTTATTTTTCTCAGTTCATCAGTAGTGTACATGACTTGGGTGAATTCTTGTTGATGATATTTTAAAATATTTGATGTTATATTTTATAACAACTATTGAAAAGATACACTTTTAAAACCTTTGAGTTCAGTTTTTAATGTAACCTAAAGTATGTTTATAATGCATATTCTGGGAGTTACCTACTCCTGAATCCAGAGAAATTTGTGTTTTCTAAATAAGTCTTTATAAACTTTAAAAGTTGATTATCAAGGATTTATTTGGCCTAATTTTTAAAATTTTATTTCACGTGTGTTTGAGTGTTTTACCTGTATGTATGCAAGTGCACCTGTGTCTTGCAATACCCATGGAAGCCAGAAGAGGGTGTCAGGTTCCCTGGAACTGTTACAGACGGTTGTTAGCTGCTATGTGGGTTCTGGGATTTGAATATATTGCATGATGAGCATGTACTTGCTTAGCTGCTGAATCCCTAAAGAGAACTGCTGATTGACTACTGAGAGTTTAATTACCTAGAATTGACCTTTTAAGACCAAATAAAATGGAAAATAGTGAACTTACTGAAATTTAATAGTAAACTTACTAATAAAATATTTTTTGAGATGGTCTTGCTATGTAACTCTGACTGGCCTGGAACTTAGAGTTCCTCCTGCCTCTGTTCCCCAGGTGCTGGGGTTGAAGGAATGCACCACACCTGCCCAACAACACAATCTTTTAAGTTTTTACATGCAGACATACTTTTAGCTACACAAATTATTCCTATCTTAGCTATATTGTAGTTTAAATTATTGTTCTTAAAGAACAAGTTAAAAGAGGCTCTATACTGTTGCATGGTACTACTTCTAAGATGAGAGCTGAGGCTGGCAAGATGGCTCAGAAGGTAAAGGCACTTGTTGCCAAGTTTGATGACCTGAATTCAATCCCTGGGATCAACAGGGTAGAAGGCAAGGAAGAATTTGCGTACAAACAAAGATTTTTAAAGTAGTGGGTTTGGATTTTTTGTTGTTGTTTTTGTTTTTGTCTTTGTCTTTTTTGAGACAGGATCTCCCTCTAGCCCCAGCTGACCTAGAACGCCCTATGTAGACCAGGCTGGCCTTGAACTCACAGAGATCCACCTGCCTCTACCTCCTCAGTGCTGGGATTAAAGGTGTGCGCCACCACACCTGATTTAAAGGTAGTTTTTAAATGGCAAACTTTGCAAAAAATAAATGAGAACTCAGGGCATTTAGTATCAGGATGTTCTAGTTAGTAAAACTGTACCAGGGTTTAGTGGTGTTTACTTTCTTTTTCTTTTATTCTGCAGTACAAGCAGTGTATCAAATCTAAGTCTTTGCTCATTGTAGACAAGTATGGTATCTTTGCAGCATATCTTCAGCCAACCATAGTGTAATTTTTGACAGTTCACAAGATTAAGATTATGATCAACTACAATAAGAAATTGATTCAGAATTCATTATATTAGATTACTAAGTAGCTTTTTCTTCATTTAACTATTTGAAGCTGTTTTACCTGATTATTTTATTAGGCATTTTCAGGTGTTTAGACAACCTACATCTTTATGGAGGGGTTGCTGAAATAGAAGCCTGGTTTTTAATTCTTACTCAGCAGCTATATTGATATAAATTGTGTCCCAGTAATCTAATTTGTGCTTGATATTTATGCTGCTTCACCACATGTGGATCACTATGAGTAAAATTCAATATTTTGAGGTCTTTTCAAGAATGAGTTGCCAGTTGGTTTTATTGAATATACCTTTTCTAGCATATCAAATCAAGATAGTACTTTCCCCCCCAAAAAAAAGTTTAACTTTTTTTATGTTAATTGTATTGCAGGGCTGGCTAGTGGATCTCCTCAACAAATTTGGTACTTTAAATGGGTTCCAGATATTGCATGATCGTTTTATTAATGGATCAGCATTAAATGTTCAGATAATTGCAGCCCTTATTAAGTAAGTTACATTTTAAAATGAAATGTTCTGTATATGATGAATTGCTGGGGTTTTTCTTAATTTAAAAAATGAATAATTCAAGTGGAGATTTTTAAAAACTTGGTGATTGGATATTTTAAAAGTAATGCATGTACTATGACAGTTAACTCAATTGATGTTAAGAAATTAAGTATAACAGGAGTTTTATTTTGTTTCAGACCTTTTGGACAGTGCTATGAGTTTCTTACTCTTCACACGGTGAAAAAATACTTTCTTCCAATAATAGAAATGGTTCCACAATTTTTAGAAAACTTAACTGATGAAGAACTGAAAAAAGAAGCAAAGAATGAAGCTAAAAATGATGCTCTTTCAATGATTATTAAATCTTTGAAGAATTTAGCTTCACGGGTTCCTGGACAAGAAGAAACTGTGAAGAACTTGGAAATATTTAGATTAAAAATGATACTTAGGTAAGTTCTTTATCTTTGGAAATAATCATATGCATGCATTTTTTAGAATCATACTTAGAAGTGAATTTCTCTTACAGATTATTGCAGATTTCTTCTTTCAATGGAAAGATGAATGCACTGAATGAAGTTAACAAGGTGATATCCAGTGTGTCATACTATACCCATCGACATGGTAATCCTGAGGAGGAAGAGTGGCTCACTGCGGAGCGGATGGCAGTAAGCCTTTTAACTTTATTCTTTTTAAGTAAATAAGTATCTACTTGAGACTAGAATGATTATAGCTAAAATTAGTAATGTTAATTATAAATTTAGGTCAAAAATCAAGAGGAGCTGGGTATGGTGACGCGCACTTTTAATCCCAGCACTCAGGAGGCAGAGGCAGGCAGATCTTTGTGAGTTTAAGGCCAGCCTTGTTTCCATAGCGAATCCAGGCCAGCTGCAGCTTCAGGGAGACCCTGTCTCAAAAAAGACCAAAAAAAGAAATAAAAATCAAGAGGAATAGTGGGCTGGAGAGATGGCTCAACATTTAACAGCATGGCTGCTCTTAAAAGAGGACCCAGGTTCATTTCACAGCACCCACATGGTGGTTAACAGCCATCCTTAACTCCAGTTCCATGGCATCTGATACCCTTTTCTGTCCTCCACTGGCATTGCATGCACATGGTGCGCACACACACGTAGGCAAAACACTCATATGAGTAAAATGAACCCCAAAGTTTTTAAGTTGAAAGGTGTTTTGTTTTTACAGGTTTATTGATTGTGAGAACTATGCTATTACACAATAGCATGGTTTATTATTTGGTAGCTGAGCATGTTAATGATAACTTTATGTTGAGTGTGGTGTTGCAAAGTAATAACTAGCTTAATGGGAGATTTGGTATAGAAATTGTGAAATTGTTTGAAATGAAGTAGATAGAAGTGATCTGGGAATGGACTAGGTAGTATCTGCTACATAGTGAATGAAGGAGCCTGTTGTTATTTGATCAGTTCCAGTTAATGATTTGAAAACATGAGATATATGGCTGGGTGTGGTGGTGCATACCTGTAATCCCAGCACTGGGAAGGTGGAGGCAGGAAGGAAGATGTACTACAAGTTGGACACCAGCTTTGGCTACATATTGAGGCTTTGTCTCAGAAAACAAACATACAAAAATGTTTTATGAAAGATATAATCGTGAAATAAGATCAACAAGTTACTGTTTTAACTTCATTTTGAGAATTTTGTTTTAAAGTGCTTGAGTTCCTATCATCTTGGCCTTGAATACTTAGGAAACTTTATTTTTCATAGATAATTTACATATTACAGTATTAATTATAAGTTACCATTTAAATTATAGAACACATGTTATTTTTGTAAGTACTATGAGAGTTATGAGATATCTGTAACCAACTACTACCAAGGGATCACACTGGTAATTAAGGAAACTACAATATAGACTATGATTAAAAATGTTGAGCAGCTAGGGTTATAGTTCTTCAGGGTCCTAGTGAGTGGTCAGGACTAAAAAGAAAAAAAAATACGTGGAGAATATTTAGATCTTTTCCTTGGGTTAGGAAGTAAAGTGTTAGCCATCTAGTTTTGTGTGTGTCCCATGCCTGTCTGCCTTGGGAAAGTTAAGTACAGAGCTACTCTTATATTAGGAAAAAAATGCCTCCAACAGATTAGGAATTTAAAAACCTGTCCTTTATTGGCTTAAAAAATACTTCTAGTGCACATTTTGGGCCCAACTACTTTTATTTTCAGTAAGTTAGTGCAAAATCCTAACAGTGTGGATTACCTTTTTTTTTTTAATTGTGAGTTCCCACTTTATTGCTGTGAAGGTTAGGTAAATGACAGTCAAGCAACAGCATAGCATAGTATTATGGGAACAGATAATAGGAACATACAGAGTTGATTTAGATTTTATTGCTGGCAACTGCAAACTTGTTTGGGGTTCTGTAATAGGACAAGGTAATTGCTTTCTTCAAAGATGGCAGAAGGTGGTAGATAAACAACAGTGTTTGGCACGTGGCAATCAGTTAATAAATAAAAATTATAGAGAGTATCTTTTTGCCCAAGATCCAGTCCAAATTGTTCTGGAGCAGAATTAAAGAGATCTAAAGATGCTCAAGTTGGTCCTGTGCCCATGTTGCCTAAAAACCCTAGCAATTATTGCATTTAAATGATGTTTTTCTGAGTGAATGCTGCCGTATAGAATACTTTTAATGGTGTGAGTATTTCTAGTTTCTGGGGATATTTCCTCATAAATTATTTAATTCCAGCACTTGGGAGAGTGGTGGAGGCAGGAGGATCACAAGTTTATGACTATCCCATGCTACATAGCAAGATCCTATTTCAAGGGGAAAAAGAAAGAACTTACTATAATTTTTTTTAGTAATTTCCTATGATGATGGTGCATAAGTACACTGTATTTTGTAAATGTGTTTAGAAATTCTACTTATAAAAAATATATATAGTGTGTATATATATATATATATATATTTACATATATATTTTTAACCGTGGGTTTGGTAGAGTGCTTGATAGGCCCTGAGTTCGGTCCTCAGCTCTGGGGGAAGAAAAAAAAAACTACTTTTGTTTCTGTTTTGAAACCAGTTTTTTTTTTTAATTACATTTAGGAATGGATCCAGCAGAACAATATTTTATCCATAGTTCTGCGAGATAGTCTTCATCAGCCACAGTATGTAGAGAAGCTAGAGAAGATTCTTCGTTTTGTCATCAAAGAAAAAGCTCTGACTTTGCAAGATCTTGATAATATCTGGGCAGCACAGGTAAGGACTTTATCACACTTAAATGCTTGTTATATAAAATAATCCTCTAGGAAACTTCCAGAAATTTCCAATAATACTTAAATACACATTTAGTTAACGTTTAAGAGAAAAGTTAGAATAATAAAGGAAGCCGAACGTGGTGCTTACCTATGATCTTAGCAGAAGTGGGAGAATCATGCATTGGAAGCCAGTCTGAGCTACATAGCAAGACCTCAGCTCAGAAAACCAAGGACTGCGTACATATATAGCTCAGTGACAAAGTGCTTGCCTTAGTACCACAAAATAAATGTCTGTTGGAAGAATACATGATATCTATCATTGACTTCTTAGTAGACTTAGAAACCTCTATTATCAGGAGAATTAAATCACTATTTCAGAGGTCTTCGAACTTTTCTGAAAGATTAAGAAACTGCATAAACATTAAGTTCTGATTATAAAGCTTTGATTTTTTTTTTAAAGCAGCTTATAGAAATACAGAAAATACTTTTGCTTTTGAGTATTTAACGTTCCAATTTGGAAAAAATACTGATGTGGCTTATTTTTCTTAAAATCTAAGTATGTTTAATAAACTGCAGTAAAAAGTACATATTAACCATGTATTCATAGATGGACTTTTTAGATTTTTTACATCTAAACAATATTATGTTATACAAATAATGGAGGTGGGGATAACTTACTAATTGTCATCAGCAGTCAGTATATACTATGTTTCTGTTATTCACAACAGTGTGCTATGGTCGTCTTTGTATTTTTTCTCAATAGGCCGGGAAACATGAAGCCATTGTGAAGAATGTACATGATCTACTGGCCAAATTGGCATGGGATTTTTCTCCTGAACAACTTGATCATCTTTTTGATTGCTTCAAGGTAATTCTTAAAATAGTGAGTCATTACCATTTTATTCTAGACAGAATCAATTCTTTAGATATACAAATAATCAATCACTAATCTGAAGGATTTTGCCCGTGTTTTCTGTCACTGAGGACTTAAAATTTTCATTTTTGTAATAGTAATACTAGCCCAAATAAATAAGTAATCTCATACCCTTTCAAAACTCAGGTTATCATTTTGGATTTCGGTCCCTGGGCAGTTTGTATTTTGGTAATAGGTTGAAGCAAATTGTAGAAGGGGATGACTGATTGTGTTCAGAGGATATGTATGCAGGTAAACCATGACTTAGTGGAAATGTAATTCATAAGGTAGCACCAGGACCTCTAGTTAGATCTGTATTGCTAATACCATGTGCTTTTAAGACATAGTGTAACAAGTCCTCAGTTGCTAGGAATGGGCTCACAAGAAGCCTGAGTGACTAATGAATTTGTGAATTAAGAACATGAGACCACATTATTAGATCATTAGTTATCAAGGAGTCTTACTAAAAATGATTATTCCGACTGGAACTATAAGTTACTTGGTGTAAGTAACATTTTTGAAAATTGTTTGGCATTTCAGAATAGGTGTAAGATTATTGAAAGTTTGACTTGTATGTGCCTGAGAAACCCAGGTGTATGTGCACCAAGATGCATATTCAAAAACACTTGGGACTTGTTATTTTGTAGTGGTTAAAAACTGCTATGTGGAATGGCTACATAGTGGAATGTTCATGTAATGGAATATTTCATGGCAATGACAATAAGCAAATTAGAATAACTTCACCACGTGGATAAATCTAATTGACAGAGCATTGAAGGAAGAAAGGAAGCTACGTAATATGCCTTGATTAAATTGCCATAAATTTCAGCTGCATTCTGGAGTGCTCTTTATCGTGTTTTCCTTTTATCATTTTTTTAAAAAAAGCTAGGTAATGGTTACACTATATACTATAATAATGGTTCATATTTATGCCTTCTTGAAAGTGTATTTCACTGTAAGTGAAAAAAATCCCTGACTTCCACACCAAGCATATTAGTCACTAGGTTATGAAGCCTAGGGGGTGTGTGTTTTCAGCAAATTTCTCAGGTCAATCTTAAGTACATTAAAGTTGTAAATCTGTATCTTACTGAAAATTTTACTACTTCGAAGGAAGCAAAATATTAAGTGAATCTTTTCTCTGCTTTTAAGTATCATCATTTTATACATACAAAGAAAAAACTTGTAAACATTTCCCCCATCTTTTGAAGTATGTCAAAAGCAGCTGGGAAAATATTACAATCACTTATTATGAATGCTCTGAACTTAATAGTTGTTCATCCTTAATATTGGGGTTGCTTCTGAAGTGGTGGTCCAAATGCCAGTACTACTGGAGTTGGAAGCCTTAGATGAGGTATTTAACTGTAAATCAAAGTGATTTTTTTTTCTCGTGAATACTGTTGTCTTTGAAATGTCACTTGAATAATTCTATGTTCATCTATGTAGTTTTTCTTTAAAAAATTTTTTTATATTTATTATTTTTATTGTATGTGTATTTGTGCCTGCATGTAGGTAAGTGCACTCATGTCGTGCAATGCCCACGGAGGTCAGAAAAGGCTGTCGGATCCCCTGGGACTGGAGTTACAAACAGTTGTTAGCTGCCATGTGGGTGCTGGGATTCAAACCCGGGTCTTCTGCAAGAACAACCAGTGTTCTTAACTGCTGAGCCATCTCTCCAGCCCCATTAGTAGTAGTTTTTCTTTTTTAAAAAAATAATTAGGCTAGGCGTGGTGGCACACGCCTTTAATCCCAGCACTCTGGGAGGCAGAGGAAGGCGGATCTCTGTGAGTTCAAGGCCAGCCTGGTCTACATAGTGAGTTCCAGGACAGCTGGGGCTACAGGGAGACCCTGTCTCAAAAAGACCAAAAATAAAATTGACATAGCATTATATTTAAGAAATAACCAATAAGCCAGGAGTGGTGGCACACGGCCTTTAATCCCAGCACTCAGGAGACTGCATAGTCTGCATAGTTAGTTCCAGCCTATTATGGATTGTTTTCATGTTGTTCAAATGTCTTTTGTAGGCTAGTTGGACAAATGCAAGTAAAAAGCAGCGTGAAAAGCTCCTTGAGCTGATTCGTCGCCTTGCAGAAGATGATAAAGATGGTGTAATGGCACACAAAGTGTTGAACCTTCTGTGGAATCTTGCTCACAGTGATGATGTGCCTGTAGATATAATGGACCTGGCTCTTAGTGCTCACATCAAAATACTAGATTATAGTTGCTCTCAGGTAAGGGTGCTGCTTGGCTAACTTTTGTGACCTTTCTGTTACTTCATGATTAAATTTATTCTGACATCATGATCTTTTCAATGGTATTCAAGAATATATAAATCTGCCTTTCTTAGGTCTCTACAACAAAGTTTTGTAACCATCTTGAGTCTCCTTGGGAGAAAGTACAGAAAATAGATTATTTACTGATAGTATGATAAAGAAATGCTAGTTTTAAATAGATGATAAATATTAAAGCCAAGTAGGGACTTCAAGTCAGAGGTAAGAGAAACTAAGTTTTCTTTGCACCTAATACAAAAAAAAAGAAAAAGTTGAGTGGTGTGTGATGGCACTTGCATTTAGGCAAAGGATCTCAGACCTCTGTGGTATGCTCCAGGCCACCTGGGGCATCAGGGAGACCCAGTCTCAAAAAAAAGGAATTTAAGAGCAATTAATAGAATTCCCTAAATAGTAAAACAATTGTTATGTTACTGTGAGCTACTATAGAATTTTTTTTCCGGTCTTTTTTGAGACAGGGTCTCCCTATAGCCCCAGCTGACCTGTAATTCACTATGTAGACCAGGCTGGCCTTGAACTCATAGAAATCCACCTGCCTTCTGCCTGGGCGTGCTGGGATTAAAAGCACGCACCACCATGTCCAGCCTTATACTATAGAATTTCTTAAAACATTAGCTAAAACTAAAACTGGTAATTTAAGATCAAACTATACTGAATTTATATAGTTTATATATAGTGTTTTACTTTTTGGAGTTTCATTAGTGAATATGAAGTTAAGATACACGTACTTTCTTATTGATATTTTTAGTACAATTACAGTGTACTTATCATATTAATCTTACAAGAAAAACTTATAATTTTGTGGAAAATTAAATTTAGCTCAGTTTCTTTTTAATATTCCTTAAATACTAGACTTCTTTGAGAATTTAGCTATGTAAAAATTTGAAATTGTTTGTTTAAGGACCGGGACACACAAAAGATCCAATGGATAGATCGCTTTATAGAAGAACTTCGTACAAATGACAAATGGGTTATTCCTGCTCTGAAACAAATTAGAGAAATTTGTAGTTTGTTTGGTGAAGCTCCTCAAAATTTGAGGTAAGACTTTTAAAAACTATTATTTTTACTTACATATTCACATTTCAATTGGTAACAGCAAATTCTAAAGAAAATTAGTGGAGTGACAGGCAACTAAGAAGGGTCTTTTGGAACAAAAGAATCCTATCAAACCTACCTCCTTTGTTTCATTGGTGAGGAAGTAAGCCATAGTTAACAGAATCAGGAGGCTGCTACTGCTTCATACTACTTCAAATATTTAATAGGTTTTTTTTTGGTGGGTTTTTTTTTTGGTGTTTTTTTTTTTTTTTTTTTTTAAGACGGGGTCTCCCTGTAGTCCCAGCTGGCTTGGAACTCAACTATGTAGACCAGGCTGGCCTTGAATTTACAGAGATCCTTCTGCCTCTGAGTGCTGGGATTAAAGGCATGCGCCACCAAGCCTGGCCTTAGTAGTCAATTTTTAAACTAATTTAAAAGATTGATTTACACTGACATTTAAATAATGGAAGATGGTGTGACACAGTTAAATTTTTTTATTTTACCTAAATTTCTTTTTAATAGCCATATTTAAAAAAACTTAAGCCAGGTAGGGTGGCACATACCTTTAATTCCCAGCACTAGGGAGGCAGAGGCAGATGAACCTCTGAGTTCTAAGGGCAACGACGGCTGTACAGAGAAACCCTGTCAAACAAAAAAAAAGGGTTTAGAAAACCCCACGATGCCAAAATCTACTTGCTGAAACAAATTGTCCTTGTATTTCTGGCAATGGAGTTAAAATCAAAGACATAGGAAGAGGTCTAATCTGGAAAGAAAGAAAACTTAGTGTAGTTGAAAGAATATTCCTAGATAGTGTGGGGAACCTTGTATCAATCCAGTCTTGTACTCTTGGGAACATTCCCTAACTATGTTTTTTATGCATAACATATAAATGGCAGTCTTTTACAGCTTTACATTACTATTAAGAATTCCTTAAAAAAAAAACCTAAGAATTCATATGTATGTTCTATTAACAGTTGAACCTCATATCCCCCCACCACCAAAGGTTAAAAAAAAAATCAGATATTGGAAGAGCTATAGGAGTGACCATTAGAAAAAACTTCAGACATGTATGTTAATAAATGTAATCTTTTGGGGGTCTGGAGAAAAGACTCAGCAGTTAGGAGTATTGGCTGCTCTTGTAGAGGACCAGGGATTGGTTTGTTTGGCCCATTTTTACATCTGCCACTTGACCTTTCTCAAGTGATGCAGGTCTTCAAAAAAAAAAAAATTCAATGACCTTCTTTCCACTAGAATTATAGCAGTGGCTCTGAAATTTGACTAGTTTCAGAAAATATGACCAAAATTTGGAAAGGACTTAGTGTTGTCCATAACAGTTTGGCTATAAAGCAAATATTTGCAATGTGTGCCTTGAATTTTTTAGTACATTTTAATTTTTTGTGGGAGTCAGGGGTGCATGCTGCAGTGTGCCTGTGGATGTTAGGGGCCAAATCAGGTCTGTCCTCCTACCATGTGATGATCAAACTCAGGTCATCAGGCTTGGTGGCAAGTACTTTTACCTCCTGAGCCATCTGTCCGTCCCCTACTAAATAAAAACTACTGTGAAAACATTCTTAAATTCTTCACTGGAAAGTACAATGCTAATCTTGCAAAGTATGTTTCTATTTTTTAATTCTCAAATATTCCTGTAATCTAACACAAGTACTTTAGTAGTAATAAAGGAGTAGAAATTAGTCATTGAAGTAAACCCCCCATGAACTGAAGTGAAGAGAATACTGATGTATGATTTTCATGTAAAATAAGAATAATAATTTGGGGGACATTTCTATTAAATTGCTTAATAACGTCATTAAAAGAGGTAAACGAACAAAACTAGCTTCTTAGGTTTTTAATTAGTTGCTAAGAATTTAGATAGTATAAACTCTTGATTGCAACAGAGTTTAATTGCCTAATTATATTGTTAAGTTCTTCTCGTTTCAGTCAAACGCAGCGAAGTCCCCATGTATTTTATCGTCATGACTTAATCAATCAACTACAGCATAATCATGCCCTAGTTACTTTGGTAGCAGAAAATCTTGCAACTTACATGGAAAGCATGAGACTATATGCCAGAGGTATGTTAAAAACTGAACTGTGGGAAATAACTATGATTGCTTTTTTGCATTAGTTACCTTAGAAGTGACACTTATATTTTAAAAGATTCAAGGCAGTTGGTTTTATGAAATTTTCTTATGATCCACTTGTACTCCCAGATCTTAATAAACCTAAACTTTAGTCCAGTGTTCAAGGATCTTAGTTTGCTTTTCCCAACCAAAGTTGGTTTCTTTTTCTTCTCTGCCTGGGGAGCTCTACCAGTCAGTACCACAAATTTTTTACCTTTCTAGGTATGTATCCGACTTTGTTTTATTACTATTACCACCTCCACTTTTTAAGAAAACACGTCTGTGTACGTTTTCTAAGTGTCTTCTGTACGTGAGCCCTACGTGTCAATATATTTTGCCTTCCAACAGCCATGTCAGAACCTCCACACTAGAATATAAATGGCTGCTTAGTAGTACACCTTCTGTTCCTTCTTAGGCTAAATTTATAGTCCCACATTCCTAATGAAAAGCACCTTGTAGGTTCAGGTTCGTTCTCAAAGCCATAATGAGCTTTATAGTACCAGTATTAAGAGACTAAATTAGACATGGTTCCCATACATGTCATTCATTTATTGTTATGGGATCTGTAGAATCCAGTCATGTATATTGAAAATGAGGCTATTGCAGGGCTGGAGAGATGGCTCAGTGGTTAAGAGCACCTTTGGCTTAGAGAAATGGCTCAGCAGTTGCTCTTACAGAGGCCATGAGTTCTAGCACATTCTAGCACCTACATCGTGCAGCTCACCTATAACTCCAAGGGATCTGTCACTCTCTTGGCCTCCATGAGTACGCACACACACATACACACATAAATTTTAAGTTTTTTAAAAATGGGACTATTTATAATACTGTTGCATAGGATAGTGAGTAATTCAAATTATTGAGCACAATTCCTGATACTTAAAAAGGGTACTAGATTGTGTTTTATCATTTTGATCCCAGCTTCCTTTTTTTTTTTCGGACTTTTTGAGACAGGGTCTCCCTGTAGCCCCAGCTGTCCTGGAACTCACTATTGTAGACCGGGCTGGCCTTGAACTCACAGAGATCCACCTGCCTCTGCCTCCCAAGTGCTTCTTTTAAGCAGCTTCCTTCTTTTAAGCAGCATGATTGAATGTTGAAGATAGTGTGGGTATGCAGCCATGATGTGTATACTATATACCAAATGAAATCAAATTTAGTGAAATGGTGAGATCGTAAACACTATACATAAATATCCAGACACTGGGATTTAGTCTAACATACCTCTGACTCTGCTGATCTCTTCTTTATGATACAAAGCCTTTGTAATTGTCAGTGTACCCTTTATCCCAAGGTAGAGTCAAATTTGTGATTTATTGCTGATTTTTTTATGTACTTTATTTTCAAATGGTGTTAACATTTCATTGTCAGAGGTTAGGACTCTATTGTTGGATAATTAAGAGACAATACATGTACCATTCAATTTAGCCTCAGTTTTCTACTCCATTTGAATCAGATTCTACATGAATTATTACCTCATTTTAATTTCATGTCACAAAAATGCTTTCATTGTTCAGTTTCTTTTCCGTATGTTCTCTCTCTCTCCACAAAGTAAGATTGTAAATCAGCACATTCATACTGCCTAGCTCTGAAACTTGACCCAAATATATAAGTACTGGATATTTTCTGAATTCCTGGACATCATAGACCTTCTATTTTTCCTATTTAGTCTGTATATCATGTCTTTCTGTAACTTAGCTCAAATTAGTACTGTGATATTATCTACCAACATTTCTGAATCTGCAATTATACTGTAAATTACAGAATTTGCCTGTGCATAGTAAAAGTATTGTACAAATTTCATTCGTTTTGAGAGACATGTTCAGCAGGATAACTTTTTCAGTAGGATACCATCAGGCTTCCACAGTTCACTGGTCATCTCAACTTCAGATAACCATTTCAGCAGTATTAAGTATTTTTTCCTGCTCATTTTATCACCAATAGCTAGCTTAGCTTTTGGAGGGGGTCAGCTGATTTCACCTTCTACTTTAACATTCTTAGATAAGAAAGAAGAAATTACTAAAAATCTCTCCATGGCCAGGCATGATGGTACACTTTAAATCCCAGCACTCAGACAGAGGCAGGTGGATCTCTAAATTCATGGCCAGCCTGGTGTACATGGAGAATTCCAGGCCAGCTAGGGTTACAGGGTTACATAGTGAGACCCAGCCTGTCTCGAGGGGGAAAAAAAAAACCAAAAAAACAAAATCCAATATTAGTTTGTGTTCTCAGTACTAGTGCTTTCATGCACTGCTACCAACCAAATCAGGAATTTTTAAGTTTTCCCATGCATGCAGCAGAGTGAACCTTTCAGTTGCCACTGAAGACTTAATTCACTGGTAGGGGAGTCATTGGGCTGATTTAAACAATTGCTGGAAATGTAATTTACCTTGTTTTTCTGGATTTTTGTTGTTATTTGTTGTCCCTATAAATCAACATTTTCCTCTTTTGTTTTTTTAAGGACTCTCAATTTCCAGTACCTGTTCCCAATGGTGTCCATCTAACACTTTTTCGGGGGCGGGGTGTCTTTTTTGAGACAGGGTCTCCTGTAGCTACAGCTGTCCTGGAACTCGCTGTGTTGACCAGGCTGACCTCCATCTCACAGAGATGCTCATGCCTTTGCCTCCCAAGTGCTGGGGTTAAGGCATACGCCATCACACCTAGCTCATCTAACACTTTTTGGAGCATTTTCAAAATGTGCACAGAAAGATTTTTTTTTCTCTCTTTTTGAGACAGAGTCTCCCTGTAGCCCCAGCTGGCCTGGCACTTTGAGAGATCTACCTGCCTCTGCCTCCCAAAGTGCTGGGATTAAAGGCATGTGCCACCACGCCCGGCTACAGAAAGATTTTTTTACAAGTATCACTAGCCTACAGTTTCTCAGTAACCTGATTCATTTCTATATTATACCCGCCATGAACTACGAAGTCTATGTGGCTTCTTCCTTTTTTTTTTTTTTTTTTTTTTTTTTTTAAAAAAAAAAAAAAAAAAGCCGGGCATGGTGGCATACACCTTTAACCCCAGCACTTGAGAGGCAGAGGCAGGTGGATCTTTGAGTTTGAGGCCAGCCTGGTCTACATTAAGAGTTCCAGGCCAACTAAAGCTACAGAAGACCCTGTCTCAAAAAGACAAAAAAAGAGAGCTAGTATTACCCATTTTTTCAACATTTTATACCTCTCTAGAGATAATGGCTGTTTGCAGTGCTGGACTAGGCCAGGAGGTACGGCATGATCTTTAACATCTTCCTTGAAAAAGTATGAAAGTATCCAAAGAATCATGTTGACATATCCAAAGAACATAGGATTTGGCTTTCATTGGACAAAACTGAAGATCAAAATAATGACAATAACTGTATCCATTAAATAAATAGAATAATGAACATACTTTTATAAAGGAAAATCCCAATTACTGAATTAGATAAAAAGAAACTAAGGAATTAATGGGATTTAACTTTTGGAGTGGTAAAAAAGATAACCTTTTCAACAACAAAAAACATTTAAATAAAAATACAAAAATGAATTTAACATGTCAAGTAATTGCAAGGAGTTAAATGAAGAAACATTTGAGAAAATTATTAAATCTCAGGAACAACAGGAGTTGTACACTCATATACATAAAATAGAAAATATAAATTGACTTTTGAAAAAAAATTATTTTTAACATGTATGTAAGTACATCACATGTGTTGTGCCACGGAGGCCAGAAGACAGCATTGAATGGTTTTTAGCTACCGTGTGAGTGCTGGAAACCCCAACCATGGTCCTCTGGAAAGAGCAGACAGTGCTCTAAATTGCTGAGCCATCTCTCCAGCCTGATAAATGACTTTTAAACTGACACTTCACTTGGTATGGAAATACATGTGTATAATGCATGATTTTTCTTTCTTTGCAGATCATGAAGACTATGACCCACAAACTGTGAGACTGGGAAGTAGATACAGTCATGTTCAAGAAGTCCAAGAACGGCTTAACTTCCTTAGGTTTGTTTGATAACATTGGTATTGCTCTCTGACAAAGAATGCAAAAGAAATATGCTATCTGACTGCCATTGGTGGTCTTTTTCTTTTTTTCCTTCTGCTGCTTTTTATGTTCCCACATTAATGTCCCACAACTTGCTATGCTGCTAAAAATGCTTTAAGATTATTGGCTGAATTTTAATATTTGCATTCTTGAAGAGAGCTCACTTTGAGCTTTAGGATAAATTTTTCATGTTTATTTATGCTGGAAATATTTATTTTCAAAAGACAAAAGTTTTATACTTTCCCACAGTCAGAGAACCATGCTGGCATAACTATCATAGAGACAAGCAATTTTGGTCATAAGGACCAGAGTAGTCTGAGTCCTGTAGTACTTTATTCTAATAATGGCTGACAAAGACAATTTGAAATTAGCAACATCTCTGATTAGGATGAGCAAAATAGGTGTATTCTTTTATGCCACAGTGAAATGTTCAAAGCTAGATTTGCTCTATGGTGTTGACTTTTAGTGATTATATGCTTTTAAAGATTCAAAAGGTACTTTTGTGGTTAAACATTTTGATAATGAGATATATATCTTTGGAACTCAAAATCCATGTCATGTAGCAGAAGAATTGACTCCTATTATTTATGCTGGCAAATGCCAGGATTATCAGTACTTCTGAAAATCTGTTGCATTTATTGCATTTATTGTTTTGATACAGGTTCTGTGGAGTGTTCTTTAGTTGTAGACTTAAAGTTCTTACAGTTTATGGGAGAAAATTGGGATTACATAATGATTCTAACTTGAGAAAACTCCCATGTCTTAAGGTTGACATTTGTTTAAAGTTGAAGTGGATTTTTTAAATTTTGATTTTTTTTTTCAATCACTTGATTTAGGAGGACTTTCCTCCCTACATTGAAAATTGCTGTCATAGTGAGCCATTGTTACTGATGGCCTATGTTGTGTCACTTTGGCTTACTAGAACAGAAAGTGGTGGCCAGCCCTATTTTTATACTGAAGTTTGGAATGGGGAGTCTATTATAGCCCCAACTCTGTTAGTACTTATTTGTGACCAGTAGCTACTCACCCAATACAAAAGAACCTTACTTAATGCCTTCTTTATTATTTAGTCTGTATTAAACACTTTTTACCTCATTGTGTGAGTAGTGCAGGTATTACTCCCATTTGATGAGTAAGATTCAGGTGCTTAGAGTAACCTGTTTGAAATTACAGCCAGTATTGCATTTTTCAGTTATTCTAATGCTATGCCAATTAGGTAAATACTTTTCCAAGTTTGGAACTTCGGCGCTTTTGTGTCAAGTTTTTGCATATTAACAAACAATGGGAAGTTTGAACCTAGCTTTTCCTTTCTTTGCCCACTGCCTAAAATAGGAGCAACTCTACTTTTGTATATCATATTGGCCAGTGGGACTTTGACTTATGAAAAGGTTTTCTTCTGTCTTTAAAAAATAAACTGAGTGCTGGAGAGATGGCTCCAGTGATTAAGAGCACTGGCTGCTCTTCAGAAGACTCAGGTTCAAATCCCAGCACCCACATGGCGGCTAACAACCATCTGTAACTTCAGTTCCATGAGATCCAATATTCTCTTATGTCCTTCTTGGGCATTGCACAACATAAGTGCAGTTACATACATACAGACAATACATGCATACACATAGAATAAAAATAATAAAATGTTTTTTAAAAAGCATGAAAAAACTTTTAAAGCAATTCACTTTTATCACACTGGACCTCACTTTTGCTTGTCTCTATGTATTAGAGGTAGGCAGGGTTAGGTAAAAATTAGAAATCCAGCAGAATGGATTAGAGTGAAATTCACCTTCAAAATAATATGAAACCAATAATCTCAACTAAAGAGATTTTAGAAAAAATCACTGAATACTCTAAACATTCTATTTATATGTCTATTGAATGTCTAATATGATCAGGCAATAAAAGATGAATAATTGATAAAAGGTACTAAAATTTGTGATTTTAATCATAAATGTTGATGGGCTTGTTTGTGAAAATCACTTAAATCCTCATTTTCCTGTGAAGCCATATAAACAGAAGGCCTAATTCTTTTATTTTAAAATCAAATTACCAACACTGAAATATTTGAATTCAAGAAAGGAGTTTTACTCAATTACCTAACAGAGTTCCTTAGGGTTCATAATGGGGCTACCGAGTATAGGTTTGTAGAGTGAGTATCTAGTACTGTTTCTGTACCAAATAAAATTAGGAAAAATTTCCTTGAAAGAACTGATACCTGTAGCTAACGTGATTGTGATATGTGTATTATTTCATACATAAACAGGTAAATTACCCTTCAGTATAAAAGTTAGATAAATCTAATTGACCTTTTAAAAATGTTTTCCCAAGGTTTTTACTGAAAGATGGCCAACTGTGGCTATGCGCTCCTCAAGCAAAACAAATATGGAAGTGCTTAGCTGAGAATGCAGTTTACCTTTGTGATCGTGAAGCCTGTTTTAAGTGGTATTCCAAATTGATGGGAGATGAACCAGACTTAGATCCTGATATCAATAAGGACTTCTTTGAAAGTAATGTCCTTCAACTTGATCCTTCCCTATTAACTGAAAATGGAATGAAATGTTTTGAGAGATTCTTCAAAGCTGTGAATTGTCGAGAAGGAAAACTAGTAGCGAAAAGGAGAGCCTATATGATGGATGATTTGGAGTTGATAGGATTAGACTACCTTTGGAGGGTAAGTCATAAGTAGGAGCTCTGTAAACATTATTTCTGATGCTCTCTGAATAATTAAAAAACATAATAAACGTCGTATAAATTACGTATGTGTTTTCTGATGCCTGTCCCAGGAATCTGGAATAGTATTGCATATTTATCTTACATTACTGGGGGTTTCTTTGGCACTGCTTATCTTATTTTTTAAGATGTTTTATTTTTATTTTATATGTATGTGTGTATTGCTTGCATGTGTGTAAGTGCACCTGTGTTGTGTAATGCCCATGGGGGTCAGAAGAGGGTGTTGGATCCCCTGGAACTGGAGTTACAGCTGGTTGTTAACCACCATGTGAGTGTCGGAAATCGAACCTTGAGTTCTCTGCAAGACCAGTCATTGCTTTTTACTGCTAAGCCAACTCTCAAAGTGTTTTACTGTTTTTCTTTAAAATTAGACTGAGTGTATAGCTGCTTCTTTTTCGTAGTTTTATTTTAGATCTCAATGAAATATTTGTTCTGTATTCAAAGAACTGCATTTGTTTCTTTTGGTCTGTTTCTGTTTTACTTGATTATGAAGGTCAACTAACCATTACATTATTAAATAGCGTATTGAAAATAACATTTGATTTGACTTTAAATGCCCAGCTGAAACATTTCTTGAGGGGCTGGAGAGATGGCTCAGTGGTTAAGAGCACTGACTGCTCTTGCAGAGGACCCGGGTTCAATTCCCAGCACCCACATGGTGGCTACGAACCGTCCTTAACTCCAGTTCCAGGGGAACCTGATGCCATTTTCTGACCTCCGCAGCATTGCACGACACAGGTGCACTCATGTACATGCAGGCAATATACTCATATACATAAAATAAAAACAAATTTTTAAAAATTTCTTGAGACATTAAAGTTTCATATTTTTGACTTAGGTTGTGATTCAGAGTAATGATGATATTGCTAACCGAGCTATAGATCTCCTTAAAGAGATTTACACAAACCTTGGTCCAAGGCTGCAGGTCAATCAGGTAAGGATCAATATGCATTAAAACTTCCACATGCTAGAATTCCAATTGATGGAACTATAAGGCTTATAAGATTTTTCTCTTTAATTCAAACTTAACTGGGAAGTGTTTTGTTTCACCTCTTACTAAACATATATGTAAAAGCTGAACATAGTGGTATAAACCCGCAACCTCAGCATTCGAGAGGCTAAGGCGGGAGAATTGCAACTTTAGGCCAGCCTGGGATATATAGTGAAACCCTGCCTGAAAATACATACATAAGTAAAATAATGAGTTTAAATTTCTTTTACATGAAATACTAAGGGAATCTTGCATTGATCATTATCTTGAAGGGACTGGATTATTTTGAATGTGATTATTATATATTGAAATGGGAAAGAGGGCGTACTGAATTTCGGTAACTAGCATGTAATCCTAATTTAAAGTTCTTTTTTACTTACCCCATTTGCCTTTGTTAATGTATTTAACACTAAGGTCCTTTTAAGAAACAATAGACTACCTCTAATTGGATTAGTGCTAGAGATTTTTTAGCTAGAGATTTTTTATTTTTACAGCTGGGGCTCACCTGAACTATCTGTATTTGCCCCATTATTTGTAGGTGGTGATCCACGAAGACTTCATTCAGTCTTGCTTTGATCGTTTGAAAGCCTCTTATGACACATTGTGTGTTTTGGATGGTGATAAAGACAGTATTAACTGTGCAAGACAGGAAGCTGTTCGAATGGTTCGAGTATTAACTGTTTTAAGGGAATATATAAATGAATGTGACAGTGATTATCATGAAGAAAGAACGATTCTGCCTATGTCAAGGTTTGTTGAAGCTGATGAACTGGGGTTAATTTTTAATTATTTGGTATTTTTCTAACCATTTCTTTTTAAAACATTGTTTACAAGTGCTGGGTGTGGTGGCACACGCCTTTGATCCCAGCACGCAGGAGGCAGAGGTGGGTGGATCTCTGTGAGTTCAAGCCAGCCTGGTCTACATAGTGAGTTCCAGGACAGCTGGGGCTCAGGGAGACCCTGTCTCAAAAAGACCCCCCCAAAATTGTTTACAAGTAAAAAGGAAGAGAGATTAATAGTTTAGAAAATGTTAATGTCTTGCTAATTAAAAATATTGTAAGTATTGGGGCTGGAGAGATGGCTCAGCGGTTAAGAGCACTGACTGCTTTTGCAGAGGACCCAGGTTTGATTCCCAGCACCCACATGGTGACTATGAACCGTCCTTAACTCCAGTTCCAGGGGAATCCGAAGCCCTCTTCTGATCTCCACGGCATCTCACGACATGGGTGCACTCACATACAAGCAGGCAATACACTCATACACATTAGTGTATATATGCATATATGTATGTAATATGTATGTATATATGTGTATATATATGTATGTATATATATGTGTGTGTGTATATATATATATATATATATATATATATATAGAGAGAGAGAGAGAGAGAGAGAGAGAGAGAAAGTATCTTACGGAATTGTTTACTTGTGATTTTGTTTTAAGATAGAAGAGTTTATTAGAGAAGAAAGCCTTTCCAAGAGAAGTGGGCCAGAGCAGGGAAAAGATCAGAAGCTCAGGAGCTGCTTGTTTTTTAAGACATGGTCTCACTGTGTAGTCTCCAGGATGGCTTCAGACTCAAGATTGAGCTTACTGCCTCCCCAGTGCTAGATTTGAAAGCTTAGCCCACTGTGCCCAACATAGAGCCTTTTAAAGTTAATTGACCTTTTATTCCTCCAGTGTCAATTTTCATTTTCTTCGTTTAACATTTCAAAAAATATTCGTGTGTACAAGTATTTTCTGCATGTATGTTTGTGTGCGTACCTGGATACCATAAAAGATTGGCAGAGCCGTTGTCAATGCTGGGAACCAAATCCAGGTCCTCTGCAAGAGCAGTAAGCACTCTGAACTGCGGAGCCATCTCTCCAGCACCCCACCCCCTTGTTGATGTATTTTGAAATTTGTGTGTGTCTGTGTGTGTGTGTGTGTGTGTCTGTGTGTGTGTGTGTGTGTGTGTGTGTGTGTAAGCTGCCATGGTGCAAGTGTGGAGATGAGAGAACATCTTGAGAGAGTCATTTTTTTTTCCTTTTTACCATTTGGGTCCCAAGGAACAAACTTAGGTCCTCAGGCTTAGAGGCAAGCTCTTTTACTTGCTGAGCCATCTCAGTATTTATATTTATTTATTTTTGGAATGGTGTAAGTGTGTCTGCCATGTACACTCGTGAAGACCAGAAAGAGGATTTGGGGTCTTCTATCACTGTCTGCCTTATTCCCTTAAAACAGTCTCTTACTGAATGTGGAGATAGACTTGCTCGCAGCAAGCCTGTCTCTGCCCCTTCACATTGCTTTTTACTTGAATGCTGGTGATTTGAACTTGGGCCCTCATTCTTGTGCATTAAGCACTCATTCTTAACCACTGTCATCCATCCAGCCTCAGTTTTTATTTTGTTTGGAATTTTTAGTAAAGCTCTTTTTTTTTGCCATTGTCCATTAAATGTTCGATATTTTGCAATTCAAGTATTTTTATTTTGATGCCATTTATTTACACTGTTAAAGATAATAGCAGCACATGTTTCTGCCCTCAGCACTCAGGAGGCATTGCAAGGGAGATTGTCAAAAGTTTGAAACTAGCCTGGTCTGATCTCCAGACCAACCAAGGCTATATAGCTAGACATTGTCTGGATGGATGGATGGATGGATGGATGGATGGATGGATGGATGGATGGATGGATGGATGGATGGGTTGGTTGGTTGATTGATTGATTGATTGATTGATTGATTGATTGGGGGTGGGTGAACAAGAACATACTGTGTAGTTTCTTAAAAGCCAGGCATGGTGGCGCACACCTTTAATCCCAGCACTTGGGAGGCAGAGGCAGGCGTCTCTCTGTGAGTTCAAAGCCAGCCTCTGGTCTACATAGTGAGTTCCAGTCCAGCTGGGGCTACAGGGGGAGGCCCTGTCTCAAAAAAACAAAATAATAATAATAGTAGTTTTCAATGCTCTAATAATCTTTTCTTTTAAGGTTTCACCATTTAGCAAGTTGAATGGTGCTTACACAAATTTCTTTGATAGATACTATTTCAATTTTTTTTCTTTTTTGTATCTTACCTCAAAGAAGATAATATGCCCACATACTTTTTGATACTTAGAATTTTTCAGGCAAAATTTGTAACAACCTTTTAGTTGATGCTCCCAAGGTAAAATTTATCTTGTATATTTTTAAATACCTAGAATTAGTGAGTTGAACTTCACAAGCATAAAAATTAATGAACTGTTACTACCATGCCTCTGTCTTAATTTTCTTATTTTTGAGATAGGGTTGCTTTGAGTTGCCCAGGCTGGCTGGCCTCAAAAACGTGGAGTCATTCCACCACAGCTTCCATAGTAGATAAGAATGAAGCACCATGCCAGATATTTGTATTAATTTCTTCAAGGTCAATACATTATTTTCTGGAACCATAGGCACAAAAGTAGTAAAAATGAAGTATGGTTGTTTTGTTTTGGATATTGTATTTGTAGTTAAAAGGAATAATCTATTTGTACTTTAACGGCACTAGAAATAAGTTTCTTTTGTGTGTGTAATAAGAAAATACTCAATGTTAAATTTCTATCTTTTTTTTTTTTTTTTGGCAGTGAGATTTTTGAAGCCTGCTGAACATGTTTTTCTATTTCTTTTTCCCACCAGAGCTTTCCGTGGTAAACACCTCTCTTTTATAGTTCGATTTCCAAACCAGGGCAGACAAGTAGATGACTTAGAAGTGTGGTCTCATACAAATGATACAATTGGTTCAGTTCGACGATGTATTCTCAATCGTATTAAAGCCAACGTAGCTCATACAAAAATTGAACTTTTTGTGGGTGGTGAGTTGATTGATCCTGGAGATGACAGAAAGTTAATTGGACAGTTAAACCTGAAGGATAAATCGGTAAGTGTATATAGTCATCAAATTGAGAAAAATAAAATAAACCTTAGCCTGTATCTCATTCATGCAATTGAATATTTGTTATGTAAGGCTTAATGTTAGATGCTTATGTTTTAACAAACACTAACTCGAACAGGCATTTCAACACTTAAAATCCAGCAAAATAAATAATTACATGACAATACTATTTATATGTGCTTTTAAAAAGTATTAAGTGTCTCATTCCGGGGTTGGGTGTTGATATATTTTAAGTTTGTTATTTCTTTCCTTGTCTTTGATTCTAATGTATATCATTTTCAGCTAATTACAGCCAAACTTACACAAATAAGCTCCAATATGCCTTCAAGTCCTGATAGCTCTTCTGATTCCTCAACTGGATCTCCCGGAAACCATGGTAATCATTACAGTGATGGCCCCAATCCAGAAGTGGAAAGCTGTTTGCCTGGAGTGGTGAGTGGATTCAGTTGTGTGAGGCATTATGCTAGAGTATTTGAGAATAGATTGGTATATAGATGAAATGTTTTACTGAGGAACTTTGGTTCAGTAAGGCAAATTATCTACACAATTACCCATCAACTTCAGTGGAGCCCTCTGAAAGGTAATTTTAAATCAGTTGAAATTTAAAACAAAATTTTCCTTTAGTTACAATATGGTCAGGTTTACATACAATCTGTTAAGAGTTTAATTGTAACACTTGAATATATAAATTTTTTAAAATGCTGCTGCCTAATCTTGTCTAAAGGAATATTGGCAACAGCTTGCTGCTAGATGAGGAAGAACTGATCTTCCTAAAATAAGGAACTATAGATAGGCTGACTAGACTCAGTGGATGGATAAGCACTGGAACAATGGCTGGGGGGTATTGACAACACAGTGGACAGTAACAGGGATAACAATATATGGGCTCCAGCGGGGAGAATGGGTCATGGGAGGGTGTCGCTTGGGATGTGGGTATATAGGTGAATAAGATTGTTTGGGATATTCTGTATGAAAAAAATCTATAAATTTAAAAAATGAGTTATATTTGAGGAAGAAGCATAAAAAATTGCTTCATGTTAATATCTGTGAAAAACATTACCATTGAAATCTACCAGATGACTTTATATCCATGCTCAGGTGCCAAGGATCTCAAAGTAACCGACTGTGACCAGTGATAATCACATTTAGAGATTAGAGACGCATGTGCAAACATTTAAGTGTTAGTTGCATTGAAAATGAGTCTTATGAAGCAGTATATTTTAAAATGAAATGGAAATCTTTTTTAAAAGTTAAAATCTCATTCAATTTTATGTCTTATACGGTTTATACTGAGTATAATATCATACAGCTATTAATTGAACTGTAAACCTAAAAATTTACAGCCAATTTTGAAGGAGATGCATCTTAGCTCTGGAAATTGTTATTGAATATGTCAATGTTGTTGTAATAAAATGCTTCTTCTAATTATGTGATTATTAAATAAATAATTTTTAAAAGTGCTGCTGTCTTATGTATTTGCCCCATAAAGTGTAGGGAAATACCTACCTTTCTCAGAGTATGTTATCTTCTATTTAGAGAAACAATAGCGTTTCCCTTTCTTGCCCTCTGCTTTCACCTGTAAGAATTTTAAAGACTACAATAACACCAGAGACTCTGTTTACAGCATTTGGTTTCCTGTAACAAACCGATTAAGAGTTTAGAATTTGGGCATGGCTGTAGCCTTTTGTATGTCTGATGTCTAAAAACACATCACAAAAAAGTAGCTTAAAAGTGGCATTGATCGTGTGTTCAGTGTGCATCATGAACAGTTTATAAAGGTAAAATGAGGAAGACTTAACAGAAACAACAGACTGCAGAGATAAACGTGTAAATATAGAGGAGTAATTTTCACAATTATTTTTTGTGTTTTCTTACTCTAGATAATGTCACTTCATCCCAGATACATCTCTTTCCTTTGGCAAGTTGCAGACTTGGGTAGCAGCCTAAATATGCCACCTCTGAGAGATGGAGCAAGAGTGCTTATGAAACTTATGCCACCTGGTAAGGTTTACCAAATTATCTAAATGAGCCATGCAACAGTGTTTGGTAGACTATAGGCCATAGGCCAATCCATCTCACCACTAAAGTATTTAAATTTTTAAATTGTTAAAAATAAAATCAAGTCAGGCATGGTAGTACTTGCCTTTAATCTCAGTACTCAGGAGGCAGAGGCAGGCAGATCTCTGTGAGTTCCAGGCCAGCTGGGGCTAAAAGGAGACAGAGAGACTCTGTTTCAAAAAGACCAAAACAAAAAAAAATTTTTTTAAATATAAATCAAAAGAATATCTTCAGAGACTATCTAGACAGCTCAATAAGGTTAGGTGTGGTAGGTAAGGTAGTTGAATGTGGTTGAAGATTGCTTCCAGAGAAAGTAAAAAAAAAAAAACAAAAACACGTAACCAATAAAGAAGGAGAAGGGCTGGCAAGGCTGGATAGATACCTCATCAGTTAAGAGCACTGGCTGCTCTTGCAGAGGACCCAGGTTTGATCCCTAGCATTCACATGGTGGCTAACACCGTCCGTAACTCCAGTTCCAGGGGATCCGACACCCTCTTCTGAACTCTGCAGGCATTGTGCACCACATAGGTGCACTTACACACATGCAGGCAACACATTCATACACATAAAATAAAAATAATACCTCCTTTTAAAAAGAGGGGCTGGCTTAATACTGAGACAATACAGATGGAAGCGGAGCTCTACAACACATTGGCTGTCATTTTAAGATAGGCAAAAGAATAAGCAAAATCTGCCAGTAGTCAGGATAGTATTATCATAGTCTACTTGTCAGGATGAGACCAGGGTACAGGTACTCAACTCTTAACTCTGTTTTCCTTGAAGAGACCAGCAAGCTTCTCCTGGGTCCACAGCAAAGCTAAAGGAATTTTTAAGGTTGCTTAATTTTTATTTGTTAGTGAAGATGAAATTCTTCTCCTCGTATTCTGGCTATAGTGGCCTGAACAAAAATTACCTACAAACAGCTTTCCATGCCATGCTGAGCTGTATTTGCAAGTTGAATATCATCTAATGTGATTTTGTTATAGAGGGATATCTTACAACACTGTATTTATTTCTGTAGATACTGTTTCCTTTTTTTGCCCTTTCTTAGAGTTCTTTTTACCCTTGTTCTTAGCTAAAAGGTCAAGGTTGGTCAAGGTACAGTTGAGTTCCTTTAAAAATTAAAAACAAAAATATTTTTATACTGAAATATTTTGAGACTTAGAGAGAACTCCCAGATTGAAAACCTAACATTTTGCCATAGTTAACCTTACCTGTCTGCTCTTTTTCTGACATTTGAGAGACAAGTTGTAAATATCATATATCTTTATCAATAATCCAGCTTATCTTCCATTCCCTCTATACCTTTGATAATTTATTAACAACTCTCTAGTATTGGCTTCCTCTAGTTTGTACATTAATGTATCATATTTAATTGAAACTATTTTGTGCTTCTGTTAATGAACAGTAAACCCCTTGTTCTAAAGGAAGCACCTTATTGGCCTTTATTTTTCTTTCTAGTTCCTATGTAACAATAAATTCATGTAATAGATTTCCAGCTTAGACACCTCAATTTACATTTCTGTTCAAATTCAACCTTCACAGCACAGCATAGTTTAAAACACAAAACTCCTTGAGCTTATGATTTGAATTTTCTACCACCAGATGGAGACTTTGAGCTCTTGCTAGGAAGCTCAGGTAGGAAACTTGGGAGGTTGCTTCCCCTCAGACCCTACATTTTATAAAATCAAAGTATTACACCTAAATTTGGGCCAGCAAGATGACTCAGCAGATTAAAGGTGCTTGCCGAGCAAGTCTAAGGACCTGAATTTAATCCTTAGAACTGAAATTGTCCTCTGGTGGCCAATTGTGGAACCCATACTAGCAAATTTTTCACATACACACACACACACACACACACAATAATAATAATAAGTAAACAACTAAATTGGGGCGGGGGAGATCTTTTTGAGACAGGATTTCTCTGTAGCCCCAGCTGGCCTGGAACTCACTATGTAGACCAGGCTGGCCTGCCTCTGCCTCCTGAGTGCTGGGGCTAAAGGCGTGTGGCCACAAATAAATTTAGTACCTAAATTTGAAATAGTCAGTGGTGGAAGGGGAGAACTGATTTCCACAAATTGTCCTGCTACCTCCATAAATGCTGTGGCATGTGCACAGCCCCTCCATACACAATAAATCTAATTTTAAATTATTTTTAATATTAAGTAATTATTTAATATTAGGGCAGTTACCTTAGAAATAACTGGTTTAACTAGATACTTCCTAAAGTTCACTGACTATTAGTTTTAGCATTTGGAAGCAAATGCTTAACATTGTGGAATTATCTTTGTTTTTACTGTTATTTAAAAAGAACCTCATGTTTTAATTATATAGAAAAAAGGAAGAAAAATCAAAGCTCTGATTACTTTAAGGCTTTTGAATCAGTCTCCTGCAGCTGAAGAGAGCATGTTAACTGGAGACTTCTGTATAAGAGAGTGCTCCTTTGTGTTTAGACTGATTATAAGGCCTTTATTAGTGTTTTATTTCTCTCATTCATTTGCTTTTAATCAATACAGATCTGGTCTTACGTTACAGAAGTTTGAGCCTCTATAGTTCAATTGAATTGATTGCTGTTCCATGCTCTTGAAAATACTAGAAGTGAGATATAAACCTACAAGTTAAGTTTTGTTTTGGACCCTCTCTCATTCTCTTTCTTACAGATAGTACAACAATAGAAAAATTAAGAGCTATTTGTTTGGACCATGCCAAACTTGGAGAAAGCAGCCTTAGTCCATCTCTTGACTCACTTTTCTTTGGTCCATCTGCCTCACAAGTGCTATACCTAACAGAGGTTGGTTTATTTTTCCTTTGAAATTTATTTAAATTTGACCTTTGATGTATTAATGTAAAGAACATGGATAAGATTATAATGGCCTATTTTTGAAATAGTCAAGAATTTATTAGCAGTGATGGTAGTAGAAGTAAAGGTCAATTTTTAAAAATCCTTTTAATACAATGCCCCCCCTTTTTTCCTCAGGTCGTCTATGCCTTGTTAATGCCTGCTGGTGCACCCCTGGCTGATGATTCCTCTGATTTTCAATTTCACTTCTTGAAAAGTGGTGGTCTGCCCCTTGTCCTGAGTATGCTAACCAGAAATAACTTCCTGCCGAATGCAGATATGGAAACTCGAAGGGGTGCCTACCTCAATGCTCTTAAAATAGCCAAATTGTTGCTAACTGCCATTGGCTATGGCCATGTTCGGGCTGTGGCTGAAGCTTGTCAACCAGGTGTAGACGGCGTGAATCCCATGACACCGGTAATAGAAACTTTTTTTTAATCTCTAAAAGTAATTTTTATGGTTTAATTTCTCAGCCACTGTAAAATTTCGAGTTCCAGGTTGATTCAAAATGTCGAACCTTCTTTTCCAGTGGGTACCTTATTATCAATAGAAATTTTCCTTTCTTAGACTATATTTGTATTAAAATTCCAAATGTTCTTTGTTGACTATGCTACTTAAGAGGGCAGTTAACCTCTCTGGCCATATAAGTTCTTTGACTTTGAGTTATTGTAAACCTAACAAAACCTCTACATGAATGAATCTCTTACTTTTGCCTGCCAGATAGTTAGAGACCAGTGGTGTTAGTAGTTGTAATTGAATTAGCCTTTTACCAGTTTTTTTTGCCATTGTCATTGACTTAAACTCTGATTCAGAGTTTGTTGTTAATGTTACTGATGTTCTCAAGGTATGCTGAAATTCCTTGCCTGGTTATTAAAGGCCAAACTATGCATTTAATACTCTTATATACATCATAAATAGTAATTTAACTAAATTACTGATAGTTAAAAACCAAAATATAATAATAATAACAAAAGAGGGGCTGGAGAGGTGGCTTCGTGGTTAACAGCAGTAGCTGCTCTTGCAGAGGACCTGGGTTTGAGTCCCAGCACCCACATGGTGTCTAACAACTGTCCATAACTCCAGTACGAGGGGAATCTGATGTCCTTTTCTGACCTCCATGGACATTGCATGACAAAGGTGCATTTATACACATTCAGGCAGTATACTCACACACACAAAAAATAATAAAAAATTTTTTAAAGTCTCAGGAATTAACTTTCAGTAATGACTTAGGTCTTAAGGAGGATTTGAATGTTGATGATTATGGTATCATGTAATTGTTTTTTGTATGATGATATTGTGGTGATGCTTAAAAGGAAGAACCTCTGTGTTTCTGAAATAAAATATAGGTGAAATTTTATGGTATCTTAAGATTTTCCTAGGAGGAATCCTGGTATAAGGAGCAATGGGGATGAGGGGAAGTAATTAGGTAGTTGACAATAATTGAAGCAGAATAGGTACCTGAGTTCATTATATTATCTTATATTATTCTAGCTACCTCCATGTGTTAGAAATTTTTTGAGACATGAGTTAAAGTAATCTAAAGTAGGGGATTGTAGAGAGAGATGCCACTTCTGTGCCATGTTGTCAGGTAGAGTGTTTTGTGTGTATATGTGAAAAGTTGACATCTTGAGGGAATGGGTCCAGTTATGTACAGAGCACCAAAATGATTAACTTTTTTCAGGTCAACCAAGTTACTCATGATCAAGCAGTGGTGCTACAAAGTGCCCTTCAGAGCATTCCTAACCCATCATCTGAATGCATGCTTAGAAATGTATCTGTTCGTCTTGCTCAGCAGATATCTGATGAGGTTAGTATTGTAAGCTATATATGGGGTTTTTATATATAATGTTTTATATGTCATAAGGGCTAAAGTCAACTTTATTAATGAATAGTATCCTTTTAAATTCAATGAATTTTCACAAATACACATACATGTGAATACTGCATGAAATTTTTTTCTGTGGTGTTGGGACTCAAGATCAAATCCAGGGTCTCAAAAGTATAGCCCTAAGACAAGAGTATTTCTATAATGCTTCTTTGTGTCATTTTGCAGTCCATTCTTTTCAGCTCTAGTCCCAGGTAATCGCTGATCTTTTTGACCCTATTTTCATTTTCTTGAATTTTATATAATTGGCTCATGTGCCTATAATCCGAACACTTGGGAGACTGCTGAAGCAGAAAGATAATAAATAGAAGCCCAACCTGGACTACATAGCAAGACCCTGGCTCAAAAAAATAAAAACGCAAATTAATAATGACTTTGAGAATTATCAGTATCCTGTATACCAGTTTGTTACTAAATACTATCCCATTATGAGTATTCCACATTTTGTTTATATACTTGGTGAAAGATACTTGGATTATTTCCCTCTTTAGATATGAGTAAAAGCTACTGTGAACTTAATTCTTTGAAATTAGGTTTTCTTTTCTCTTGGGTAAGCACCTGGGAGTGAAATGGTTGTTATCTTTGTGGTTCTCTTAAGGTTCTGATGAAGATGTATAGGGCCAGGTAATAGTTTGAGAACATATTGTCATGTTGCTGTTTAAGCAAAAAAAGAAAGGAAAATAACAAAACCATGGGAACCTAAAGACAAAGATAGTACATAGCATTTCTTGGCAAAGAAAAACATTTTTCTTTTTTTCTTTTTTCTTTTGGACTTTTTGAGACAGGGTCTCCCTGTAGCCCCTGTAGCCTGTAGAACAGGCTGGCCTTGAACTCACAGAGATCTGCCTGCATCCGCCTCCTGAGTGCTGGGATTAAAGGTGTGTGCCACCATACCTGGCAGAAAAACATTTTTTTCTAGTGACCGATTCCAGTAGTCTTACCAATAGTTTCATTCGTTATCTTATAGGCTTCAAGATATATGCCTGACATTTGTGTAATTAGAGCTATACAAAAAATTATTTGGGCATCAGGATGTGGGGGATTACAGCTGGTATTCAGCCCAAATGAAGAAATCACAAAAATTTATGAGAAGGTAAGTATTATGACAGAAATATGTTCTTTATAAATGTTAGTTAATTGTATATATGTACATTTTTATTATGTTCATCTTTTTTTAAAAGTCCAGTCATTTTGTATGTTCATAGTTGGAAATTAAGTGGCAGATATACTTGTGAATTTAGTAAAATATTACTTTGTATGTAATAAATTTAATCCTGCCCTGAGACTGCTTTAAAAATGAAAAGGGATGTTTTTCTGATTCTCTGGTGTCACATTAACTGTCTCATAGAATTTGCTTTCTCCCATTCTTTTTATTCTTTCATTATCTTATAGTCCTGTGTAAGTTAGGGGTAGCTCAATTATTATGTCCCTTTGTTGTTGTTCTCTAAAGCAATCAGAAAGTTAGCCAGTTAAATTTCATCCCCACCCTAATGATGGATTAAGCAGATTATTTTCAGAAAAGCAGTTCACCTATATTTTTCCGGTTTTTTTTTTTTTTTTTTTTTGTCATGGATACCTGCTCCATAGACACTACTGCATTCTTGTAAGAAATCATGTTCTAAAGACCTCTTTTGCTTCATAGAGGGTTCCCTTTATATGTAACACTCAACACCCTTACTACTATTTTCGTGTTCCATAATAATCTGGTACAGTCCTTGGTATTCAGCAAAATAATTGAATGCCTCTTCTGTTTCAATCATGCACCATAGTACTGACCTTTTAATAGTCACATTAGCATATCTGAGGTATGAAAATCTGAAACCCTTCCTGAGCAATTGTCCAAGAAGATTGATTTTTAAATGGCACAATAGGCAAACTAGGTAATGAATCTACTGAAATGAACCTAACTGCTGTGCCAGAGTGGTTCAGGAGGAAGGAATGGTTGTTGGTTCAGAAGTATACAACTCAGAAGGTCTCTAAAAGCCTTCTGGGCTCAGTGTATGCCTTTAAGCCCCTTTTGGGTCGCAGCAAAATATTGGAGTTAGACCTCATTTTCTATTAGTTGTTTTCACACTGTTTTAAAGGGTCTCAAGAGTTGTAAGTAAGGAGACTGAGACCATGTACTTTAACTGAGTAGGGAAGTTTTAAGCACTCGGCATGAACTTTGAGTCACAAAAGATTTTCCTTTTTTTTTTTTTTTAATTCACTTATAAAATACTACAGTTTGTTACAGCGTCTTTCAATTTTTTTTTATTCTTTATCTCCCTCCCTCCCCATTCCCTTTGCCTCCTCTTTTCCTTTTGTCCCATCCCTCCCCAGTAGTTTCCACTTTCACGTCAAAGGTTTTTCTTACTGATTAAGTTAATTTATTACTAATTTTAATTTTACAGACCAATGCCGGCAATGAGCCAGACATGGAAGATGAGCAGGTTTGCTGTGAAGCATTAGAAGTGATGACACTATGTTTCGCCTTGATTCCAACAGCCTTAGATGCTCTAAGTAAAGAAAAGGCTTGGCAGACGTTCATTATTGACCTACTATTGCACTGTCACAGCAAGTAAGGATCTTTTTAAAATTATTCTCTCCATGGTACACTGATATTGAGGAGGAAAATTTTATTTAATAGTGTTTCACATAAATTTGTTTTTTACTCTATGCCAAATTGAATAAGAAATTTTCCTCCTGTATAGGATTCCTAGATGCCAGGGTTTCTTTAGTCGAACTGTTGGATTTGAAATTCATGAGAGAGGAATATTAGGAACTTCGTCAGTTTCATCCCGCTCTCCATATATAAGGAAGCACACCTTTAATCCCAATACTGTGAGATAAGGCCAGCCTGGTCTACATAGCGTTCCAGGCCAGGCAGGGCTTCATGGTGACAAATTGTCTCAAAACAAGATCAAAATGTTCACTGTATTATTCTGCCACATGCCATTCAATCACACACACACACACAAAAAAAAAAACAATGAATAATAGTTAATATAAGTCAAAATGGGCAATTTGCTGAAATGAAGCCTAGTAGTGAATAAAAGATCAAAATGTACATGTGGAAATGGAGAGATGGCCCAAAGATTAAGAGCATTGACTGTTCTTTCAGAGGACCCAGGTTTGGTTCCCATAACAATGTGTCAGCTAACAGCTGTTCGTAACTCAGTTCTAGGAGCTCCCACACCGTATTCTGACCTCCATAGGCATTGCATGACACTGGTGCACTTTCATACATAAAACACTCATAACAAATTTTTTAATGTACATGATGTTAGGAGGTAGGTTGAACATTCCCACTCTTGACAATATGATACAGCGGAGCATCAAGTGAGAATGTTTACTAAGAAGAACCTTGAGAGAATTTTTTGCTTGAACATCTAGTTTCTGAATAGGTATATTCAGAAACTCTTTTCACAGGATCCAAACAAATCCAGGACAGAGATAGCTTGCTACCTCTTTGAGAAAACTTTATTATGGTTAGATAGCTCTTCTGAACTGTGAAAAAGGAAATAGAATGAATCAGTCTAGTTCTATTTATGTATGTGGGTGTTGGTGGGGTGAGAAGCAGAAAGATGATGAGTCAGCACTTTTAATGAACTCAAGCCTGGAGGTAGGAAATTTACTCGTAATTTTTTTTCAAAAATTTGTAAATTCCTAAATAACGTCTAAGCTAATAAGAATTTAATAGTTTTCTGCTCTTCCGTTAAAGTTCCCACCATGTATGTTACAACTATTTTGCCCCTCTCACTTTTGTATAGGTGGGTGATTGGATTTGTGTGATACTGAGGATAGAAAACCCAGGGCCTTGTGGATGCTAGGCAAGCACGTTCTACCATGGAGCTGTATCCACAGCCCCCATTTTACCCCTCTCTTTCATGAAACTTGTAGGTAATGGAACAAAGTACTGTAGAAGGCACTTCACCTCATTTCTCTTGTCTGCAGTAATCAAGGAAATGCTATGAGGTTAGGATCTCCGTGAGCTTTAGGTGTCAGATCTTTTTAGGTATTTATTCCCCCCCAACTACAAGTTAATCACTTCCTTAAATACTTCAGATGAGATGTGCCTCAGATTTTGAAAGTTTTTAGATTTTGGAATATCTGCATAGAGCAGTTGAAGACTGGGCAAGGTGGTGCATTTGTACTTGGGAGTTACAGGCAGAGGAATCTGTCTTTGAGATTCCTGTCTCAAACAAACGAAAAATTATCATTTGAGCATCCTTAATTGAAAAATCCTAAATTTAGGCTCCAGAATCTGAAAGTTTTTTGGCTTCGCTAGCTTGTTTTCTTGTGACTGGCTTAAGACACCTACTATGTCTCAGACACTCTCAAGGCACCATATCAAACAGATGATGTGTCTGCCTCCTTTGGAACCTATATTCTAGTGAAGTCTATATAATATGTAAGAAGCTTGCTGAAAGATTGCATAATGATTGGAGAAAAGTTCCATTACTGAAATGAACAGCAGGTTTTTATCTTGAATCATCATAAAGGAAATACTGTATAAATACAGTGGGTCTCAATCTTTATTGTACATCAGAATCATATGAAAGGTTTGTTAACACATTGGGCAGGTTCTACTGCCACTACCACTATTTCTGTTCAGGTTTGAGAAATGGCATTTCTTTTTGTTGTTGTTGTTCTGGGGACAGGGTCTTCCTGTAGCCCCAACTGGCCTGAAACTCACTGCGTAGACTAGGCTGGCTTTGAGCTATGAGATCCACCTCTGTCTGCCTCTGAAATGCTGGAAGTAAAGGTGTGCGCCCATGGAGAAATGACATTTCTGACAAGTTCCCAGGTTATACTGATGTTGCTATTCTGGGGACCTTGCTTTTGGAACCACAACCACAATATGAGGAACACTTGAAGCAGTATGCTTTCTATGATAACAGAATTCCCACTTAAGTTTTTAAAAGCTCAATTGAATGAAAAACCTGTGAAAGGGGAAAAAAAGAATAAGGCTTTCTAAAGCATAGTGTATCTAGAAAAGCATTTCCAACCTGTTGAGAGGGTTTAGAAAATATACCTGAAATTCTTTAGTAATAGCCATGAACATGCTGCTGACGTGTATTATGTAATGCTGGCAAGTAGGGGTTACCTTATATCCTTAATGAATTCACCCCCTCAAGAGGAAACTGTGTTTTGTTTTTTTATGAAAACAATGAATTAAATTAAAACATTTCTATTTCAGGACTGTTCGTCAGGTGGCACAAGAACAATTCTTCTTAATGTGCACCAGATGTTGCATGGGACACAGACCTCTACTTTTCTTCATTACTCTGCTCTTTACTGTTTTGGGGGTGAGAAACTTTTTAAAATAATGCTTAGCAATGTAATGCATTCTTTCAACTAAAATGTTAGTTAAACTTGGTGTTTTTGAAAAGTGAGTTCAGGGCCTGGAGAGATGGCTCAGCGGCTAAGAACACTGGCTGTTCTTGCAGAAGACCCGGGTTTGAATCCCAGCACCCACATGGCAGCTAACAACTGTCCGTAACTCTAGTTCTAGGGGATCTGACAGCCTCTTCTGTGCTTGGCAGGCATTGCATGACACGGGTACACTTACCTACATGCAGGCAATACACACATACACATAAAAATAATAAATATTTTTTAAAAAAAAAGAGAGTTCCAAACATGGACATGTAAACTCACGATATTCTTTCCTTATTTTTAGAGCACAGCCAGAGAGAGAGCTAAACATTCAGGCGACTACTTCACTCTTTTAAGGCACCTTCTTAATTATGCTTACAACAGTAATATTAATGTACCCAATGCTGAAGTTCTTCTCAATAATGAAATTGATTGGCTTAAAAGAATTAGGGTAAGTTTTGGCTTATGCTGTATGTTCCTGTTAACAGTGTTAATAAATAATTTAAAATGGTTTATAGCTTGCAGAAATTTGGTTAAGTAGAAAACTCTGGAGTATTATAGAGCACCAAAGAATACACACTTCATTGATGGATATTAAGAACTCGTAATTTACAGAATGACATTACTGCATAGACAAAATACTTAAAATTTGGAATACCGGGGCTGGAGAGATGGCTCAGAGGTTAAGAGCACTGACTGCTCTTGGAGAGGACCAAGGTTTTGATTCCCAGCACCCACATGGTGGCTAACAACTGACCTTAACTCCAGTTCCAGGGGATCTAACACCCCTCCTTGGGCATTGCACGACACGGTGCACCTATCTACATGCAAGAAATACACTTGTTTACATAAAAAATCAAAACGATGAGTAAAACATTTTTTAAAAAGATTTGGAATACTGAGGTTTAGCTGCTACAGGTTTAGCTTGGGGACCTCTTACCAAATTGTCATTTAAATAATGTTTTCATCAAAAATTCACTTTTGATCATAATTCTTAAGAATTGCATGAAATTTATTTCTGAGATTTTAGTTGTATTAGCATCTTTTATACTGCTATGGTAGGATACCCTGACCAAAACGAGAGAATGGGTTATTTTTAGCTTACAGTTTCAGAGGGATAAGAGTCCATTATGGGGGAAGGCATGGCAACAGGAAGGGAAGATAACAACCACAGGAAGTTGGCCAGTCACATTGAAACAGCGGCATTCAGGAAGCAGAGAGTGAGAAAACAGGAAGTGGTACCAGTCTATAAAATCTTAAAACTTGCAAGCCTGCCCTGGAGTGACAGTTCTCCCACAACACTTCATCTCCTACAGGTTCCATAGCTTTCAGCACCACCAGCTGGGGACCAAGTCTTCAAACCTATGAGCCTATGGCACCATATCACATTCAAACCACAATAGTTTTTTCTTGTAGTTTGTAAAGTGTTTGTCTAGAAAATTCTAAAGATAATTTTAACTAGCTTGATTACAAGGCTTAGGGCATTTATCTCCTAGCTGTCTTGTTTAGATTCCTCCATTTCATAAGTTCAGTATTTTAAGGTTTTTCTTTTCCTTTGACAGGATGATGTTAAAAGAACAGGTGAAACAGGTGTTGAAGAAACAATCTTAGAAGGACACCTTGGGGTAACAAAAGAGCTACTAGCCTTTCAGACTTCTGAAAAGAAGTTTCATATTGGTTGTGAAAAAGGTGGTGCTAATCTCATTAAAGTAAGTTCAGTGTTCTTGGTCCTAAACAACATATCGTATCCTTGTGTTGTCATTGAATTTGATTAGCTGACAGTATTAGGTCTTTGATGTTTGAAATCTGAATTCTGATAAGAAATTTTAAAACCATTTTCCCAAAAGAGACATGTCTCCCTTTTCCTGACTATATCATTGCTAATATGTAGTCCTTTTTCCCAACTGTTTAGGAACTGATCGACGATTTCATCTTTCCTGCATCCAATGTTTACCTGCAGTATATGAGAAATGGAGAGCTTCCAGCTGAACAGGCTATCCCTGTCTGTGGGTCACCATCTACAATTAATGCTGGTTTTGAGTTACTTGTTGCATTAGCTGTTGGCTGTGTGAGGAACCTCAAACAGATAGTAGATTCTTTGACTGAAATGTATTACATTGGCACAGCAATAACTAGTAAGTACTTTAAAACAAAGTCGTGGTGATAATTTTAATGCTTAAAACATTGCTATGGGCTCTCTTCGGCAGCACATAACATTAAAATTGGAATGATACAGAGATTAGCATGGCCCCTATGCCAGGATAACATGCAAATTCATGAAGTGTTCCATATTTTTAAAAAAAACACATTGCCATAGTTTTGATTTTTGTTATTTAATATTTTTTTCCAACTGGATGCATCATTATCTCACAATAAGCATGGAACCAAGTATTTGGTAAATTGAATGTCATCTTTCAAATCTGAAATAATACCTAAGCTCCAGTGTCATAGGTAGATCCAACCAAAACCTAAATTGCGTGACTTAACCTTTCAGGCCCTCACTTGGTAGAACTAAGTTCCTCCACATAATTTAAATGTGTTCTGAAAAACTTACTGTGTCTTTTTTTTTATTAGTATTGTTTGGTTTGAGTTTGGGTGGTGGAGAATAGAAGGTGTTAGGGCTATTTTAGTGTATTTTTTTTATGTTAACACCCACAAGAGATCCATGAATATGGCCTGTAGACTCTACATCTTAGATAAACTGAAGCTCAGAAGGGATGAGGGTAATATAAAATAACAGAAAAAGCAGAAATAAACATAACTTAAGGCTGTGCTGTTTGATTTTAAGTAAAAACCTGCATTTCATCTACAACTAAACATCATTGAGAGCCTTGCCAGATGGGTCAGTAGGTAAAGGCACTTGCCTGTGAGCCTGGGGACCTGAGTTTGATCTGACAATTTCAGTTTGATTCTTGGAACCCACGTGGTAGAAGGAGAAAGCCACCTGACTCCCAAAAGTTGTCCTCAGAATTCCACACACATACACAAATGCACAGAAAATAAATGTTAAAATACTTACGTATTTGAGATTCCCTAGCTCTACCCAAAATATAATTGATTATATAAATCTTCAAAAATTTATTTTGTGCTTCCGAATAGAAAAAAAAATATGAAAAAAACTGCTTAAAATTATACTTTTAGATATTCTATCAAATTTAATATGAGATGAAGTTTTTTTTTAGGTTAATGGAGAGAGGTTTTACTTTTAATATTTTTATATTTTTTATGTGTATGTGTGGATTACCTGCATGTAGGTAAGTGCACCCATGTTGTGCAATGCCCTCGGAGGACAGAAGAGGCTGTCGGATCCCTGGAACTGGAGTTAGACAGTTGTTAGCTGCCATGTGGATGCTGGGATTCGAACCTGGGTCTTCTGCAAGAACAGTCAGTGTTCTTAACCACTGTGAGCCACCTCTCCAGCCCCAGGGTTTTACTTTTAAATAGTATATTTGCATGTTGAAAAATTCTGATTGCTGGGTAGCTGGAGACATGACTCAGGCTAAGAACACTGGCTGCTCTTGAAGAGGACCCAGGTTCAAATCCCACACCCACATGGTGGCTAATAACCATACCTAACCCCCTTAAATTCAGTCCCAGGTTATCTGTACACACATGGGAACCTGCATACATGTCACATAAACACACAGACATAAATATAAATAAAATACTAAAAATCAATCTTTTTTTTTTCCTTGAGACAGGGTCTCCCCGTATACCCAGCTGTCCTGGAACTCACTATGTAGACCAGGCTGGCCTTGAACTCACAGGGATCTGCCTGCCTCTGCCTCCCAAATGCTGGGATTAAAGGCGTGCGCCACCACCCCCGGCTCAGTCTTTTTTTTTTTTTTTGAAGTCAGTAGTAGCTGGGCATGGTGGCTTGCACCCAGCCTACGGGAGGCAGAGGCAGGTGGATCTCTGCGAGATTGAGGCTACCCTGGTTCACACTGTGACTTCCGGGTCAGCTGTGACTAGAGAGACCCTGTTGAAGAACAACCAACAATAACAACAAAAAAATTCAGTAGTAATAGTGACTGAAGAATAAAGATGAAACCAAAATTACCAAGTTAATAGTAGCTCTTTGCCATCTTATGTGACTATTTCAGACAGCCACAGAAGGAATTCCAGATAAAAAGAAGCAATGGCAGATAAAAACATGGGGCTTGGGGGAGCTGGGGATATAGCTTAGGTGGTAGAGTGTTTACCCAGCATTCAAGAATCCCTGCCTTTGATCTCCAGCACCATATAAGGCTAGATGTGATAGTGCACATCTACCATCCCAGCACTGGGGAAGTGGAAGTGGGAGGAAGTTCAACATCGTGATACTCTGTCTTAAAAATTAAGACAAAAGCATCATGGGTTTGTGGATACAGGAGCCTACTGTGACACAGAATGCCATCTGCCTTATGGGAGAGATGCCAAGCGAGCATCACTTCTGGTAACTGTACAGATGGTGGTAGTGTTACTGTTACTTTGTCAACTTAATAGAGCTTAAAAGAACAAAATGATTATGTTTATGCTGTGGTTCTTTTTCATTCTCAGCTTGTGAAGCACTTACTGAGTGGGAATATCTGCCACCTGTTGGACCCCGCCCACCAAAAGGATTTGTAGGGCTGAAAAATGCTGGTGCTACTTGTTACATGAATTCTGTGATTCAACAACTCTACATGATTCCCTCCATCAGGAACGGTATTCTTGCTATTGAAGGCACAGGTAGTGATGTAGATGATGATATGTCTGGGGATGAGAAGCAGGACAATGAGGTAAATTTTACTTCTATTACTTCTGTTTTCTGTGTTTGAAGTTCTGATATATCATTTTCTTGATGGATACTGAAGGGGGAGTATAGGCACCCTTCAGTATCTACAGGAGTTTAGTTCAGGACCCCCACCTAACTTCCCACAAAGATACCAAAATCTACCAATACGTAAGCAGGCCACATGGAATCTACACAACTCCTATATGCTTTAGGTCATCTGTAGATTATATGTAATATCTCATATAGTGTAAATGCTGTTTAAATAGTTGTTATATTGTATTGCTTAGAGAATAATGATAAAATATGTTTGTATGTGTTTGGTATAGACCCAGTTTTAATTCCCCCAGTATTTATGTTGTTGAATCCACAGATGCAGTCAGTGGATATGAAGAGCTGATTAATATTGTGCTTTCCTTTATCAGACTGTTATAAAGTATATTTGAAAATTGACATGGCCTCACCCACTTAGTGAAGTATGTCTCCAATGCAATAGTTTAAAAAAATACCCATCTTTTATGTAGTGATTGATGGACATCGGACTTCGAGTACTAGTTTAAATTGGGGTTGGCCAACCTTTTGACTTCTCTGGGCCAATTGAACAAAGAACTAACTGACTTAGGCCACACAAGTTTGTTTCTAGGCTTTTTGAAGCATCCTTACTTCGTAGCCCAGTCTAACTGAAGTCTCTGTCCTCAGTCTCCCAAGTGCTGCAATTACATTGTGTACCACCACACTAGACTGTGTTTTCACTTTACCTGTGCTTGCTTTTTAGTTGTACTTCTGTTTTCCCCAAGTCATCTCTCTCCCTGCTTAATAAAGTCCTCTCTACTTCAGAGAGAGTTGCATGCTCATGTAACAAAATTTAGGCTGCCTGTGAAGTGCAGAATGAAGCAATGAAAAATTTATATGGTAGTGACAGGTGAGAGTTGGTAGCTGATGTGGCTCTTCCAAGAAGTGAACTTGGCAAGATTGAAGCTGGGATCATATTTGTACCTACCCTGTATGTCTTTGTTTTAATTTTTTATCTTTCCCTGTTGCAGTTGTTTGTTTGCTGTCTGTTGCTGTGATAAACACTATGACCTAAAGAAACTTGGGGGAAAAAGGGTTTATTTCATCTTACATCATCCAGGGAACTCAAGGCAGGAACCTGGAGACAACAACCTGGAGACAGAAACTGAAGCAGAGACCATAAAGGAATACTACTTACTAGCTTATTTCCCCTGGCTTACTAAGCTACTTTGCTTGCATGGCCCAAGTGAAGCTTCGCAGGGATGGCACTGACCACATCAATTAGCAATTAAGAAAATGCCTCACAAACATGGTCACAGGCAAATCCCATGGAAACCATTCCTCAATTTAGGGTCCCTCTTCCCAGGTGACTCCAGTTTGTGTCAGGCTGACAAAAAGTAAGCTGCACCGTGGTGTTAGTGGGGAAATAAAGTGAAAAGCAAGAGTGTATTCTCATTGTGGTAGTAAATATTTTGATGTTTCTTCTTTCTTTCCCTTTAGTCAGCAAAATTGGATTTGTTTTGAAGAAATAGTTTACTACTTGTGGGACTTCTAAAACGGCTCTTCTTTAGACCTACTAGACTAGCTGATAACAGGGATTGGGGACTTAGTGATTTTGTTTTTTAAAAAAGCTTCATAGGGGCCGGGCGTGGTGGCGCATGCCTTTAATCCCAATGCAGAGGCAGGCAGATCTCTGTGAGTTCGAGGCCAGCCTGGTCTACAGAGTGAGTTCCAGGCCAGCTGGGGCTACAGGGAGACCCTGTCTCAAAAAGACCAAAAAAACAAAGCTTCATAGGGGATGCTTGCATTATACCTGGTTAGGACTAAATACTGTCCATTCCTATATCAAAGGTCTCAAGTACAAGATGTTCACTTACCTATAAATTTTCCTCTCTAGCGTCCATGATTTTGGCCTTGGAAATTCTCGTGTTACATCTTCTACCACTATTTGTTTCTGTTTGGTGTGGGCTTGGTTTAACTTGAAGATCTAGCTTTGTTGCCCAGACTCGTGATTAGCTCCTAAGCTCAAGTTATCTTTCCAAGTAGCTTGAACTCCAGGCACACACTGCAGTGCCCAGCTCTATTACTGTTTTTCAAGATCGTCAAAATACACCTGATTTTAACCATCTTTTTTTGTATAACTAGTATTAAATACATTTTTATTGTACACCATTCTCACCATGTCCAGAATTATTTTCATCTTGTAAGACAGAAACTATGTGCTGGGCATGATGGCATACACCTTTAATCCCAGCACTTGGGAGGCAGAGGCAGGCAGATCTCTGTGATCCTGGTCTGGTCTACATAGTTCCAGGCCAGCTGGGTCTTCAGGGAGACCGTGTCTTGAAAAGACCAAGGGAAAAAAACCTGAAACTGTGTACCCTTTAAAGAACTTCTCATCCTCCACTCTCCTTAAGCTCAGCCCCTGACAACCATCTTTTTTTCCTGTCCCTTTCAGTTTGACTGAGTGCCTTGTAAATAAGTTTTATCATGAAGTATTTGCCCTTCTGTAGCCGGCTTACTTTGCTTTTGCGAATAGTGCAGACTGGCCTGGAACTCATGATCCTCCTGCGAACCGAGTAATATTCCACTGGCTATATGCAATGACACATTTTGCTTATCCATTCATCTTGTTAAAGGCACTTGAGTTGCTGTCTTCGTTTTAGCTGCTTAGAATAGGGCTGCTCTGAACATGAGTACATAAAAATCTCTTAGACCCTACTTTTAATTCTTATCATAGTATGCATTCTAACTGAGCTTAAGATAGTGTATCTTCGTCGAAGAAGCTCCTTAAGTCTTCTGTGATTTTTTTTTTGTTATGTTTTGTTTTAAGTTTGGTGAACATGGAGTTTCAGGGGTCCTTCATATATTCTAGATTCTAACCCTTCATCAGATAAGTGATTTGCAAACATTTTCTCCCACTCTGAATTACCTTTTTTTTTTTAACTCTGTTGGTAGTTTATACAAATGTTTTTTTTCATTTTCCTGAGGTCCAATTTGTTGATTTTCTTTTGTGCCTTTGGTCTCTTCTGAGATCATTATGAAACCCAATGCCTTGAAGCTTTTGCCCTCAAGAGTTTTGTTGTTCTACATCTAAGCTTTAGGATTTGGATGCATTTGAGTTGATTTATGTATATAATGTTAGATAAGGGTCCAGCTTCATTCTTTTAGAAGTATTGCTGTCTGTACTTTCATAATGTGAAATGGTAGGAATAAAGACTAATATTATAAATTGTGTAAGCTTTTTGAAAATTAAATGCTTTGAAAACAAAGTGCAAAACATGTTTACTAACTAGAACTTGTCATCACATTGGCTTTTTAATGATTTTTGTTTCTAGAGCAATGTTGATCCCAGGGATGATGTGTTTGGATATCCTCAACAATTTGAAGACAAACCCGCATTAAGTAAAACAGAAGATAGGAAAGAGTACAATATTGGTGTCCTAAGACACCTTCAGGTTATCTTCGGGCATTTAGCTGCTTCTCGACTACAATACTACGTGCCCAGAGGATTTTGGAAACAGTTCAGGTAAACTAAGATGAATAGTAATAACGTACTTTAAAAATTATACTTTTATTTAATTTTATGTATATGAGTGTATTGCCTGCATGTGTGTATGTGCACCTGTGTTGTACAGTGCCCTCTGAGGTCATAAGAGGGCATTGGATTCCCTGGAACTGGATTTATAGATGGTTGTTAGCTGCCATGTAGGTGCTGGGAATCGAACACAGGTCCTCTGCAAGACTAGTCAGTGCTCTTATCTGCTGAGCCATCTCTCTGGCCCTGTAACATACTTCTTAATACTTGATAAATAACTCATATTTCTAAATTACATGTTTTAAGACATCTTTTTTTTTTAATCTTTTTGAGACAAAGTCTTCCTGTAGCCCCAGCTGTCCTGGAATTCACGTATGTAGATCAGGCTGGCCTTGAACTCACAGAGATCTGCCTGCTTCTGCCTCCCAGATGCTGGGATTAAAGGCATGCACCACCAGGCTCAGCTTGTTTTAAAACATCTTTATGTTCACTTTCTAAGCACTAGTAATGCTCCCAACTATCCTTAGATATTTTTTGTTTTTTTCCATAAGAGGTAGAAACTGTTAATAGTAAGGAAGGGATAGGAGGGATTTTTTTTTCCTTTCTCCTTTTTTTGGGGGGAGGGGGGCGTCTTTTTTGAGACAGGGTCTCCCTGTAGCTGCAGGCTGTCCTGGAACTCACTATGTAGATCAGGCTGGCCTTGAGCTCAAAGGGATCCTCTTTCTCCTTTTTTTGTCATGTTAAAAATTAGACGTATTTATCAGATGCCGTTTGATACTTTGTTACATAGGCCAGCAATCTTTAGTCTCCTTAAGATGTTGCAAACTTTATTGTGAAAATGTCTGATATACTGGGTGAAGGTTGTCACATATTTTTAATCTCTGCACTCAGGAGGGAGAGACAGGTAGCTCTCTTGAGAGCAAGGTCAGCCTGGTCTACATAGTTAGCTCTAAGCCAGCTGTGGCTACAGGGAGACCCTGATTTTTTTAAAAAAAATTTTTTTACATGTACAAATAGAATCATAGGAATGCATATCTTTATTGCTCAACTTCAAGAGTAGTCAGTTCACAGACAATCCTATACATGTTCCTTCCTACTTCTTTCCAAATTGTTTTGAGGCAGATCATAGGCACGTATGACTTCACCTATAGTACTTCGTTATATATCTTTGGTGTTTGTTTGGAAACCTTTCTTTGATAGTGCCATGTTTTTAAAAGCTGCCTTAATATTGAATACTTGATATTCTCAAATAATTTACCTGGTAATTTTTTAAAATCTGAACCCAAATGAGTTCCATATATTTCAAATTATATTTTCGGTTTTCTGAAGTACAGTAAGTGCTTAAGAGGCTTGATCACATTGCTATGCTGGTTTTTTGGTTGCCGTTTTGTTCAAGGGCTAGGTGAGGCTACTTCACGGATGGTGTGCCTCCCTCCATGTTTACCTCCATGATAAGAGGTACATATGATGAGTTACATGATGTCTATCTACCTCTTTCCTTTTTTGTTTCTTTTTTGTTATTCAGTTTTGTATTATTACAATGAAATATATCGGGCAGGCCACTAAATTAAAGAGAAAAGGTTTAATCAGTGCAGTTTAAAAGATTCAAAGTCCAAGATTGATCATTTGAAGGTTCCTTCTATTTCCCTAACTAGGCCCCTATTAAATCTGTACTGGGAGCTTATGGATGACGACGCTCCCATTCTGCTTTGTTTATTCTGTCTCATCACCATCTGGACTATTGATTAAATTTTCTCCATACCTTCTGCTTCTTTAAGAATTTAGGATTTCTAGCTGGGTGTGGCGGCATATGCCTGTAGTCCCAGCACTTGAGAGGCAGAGGCAGTGGATCTCTTGAGTTCAAGGCCAGCCTGGTCTACATAGAGATCCAGGACAGCTGGGGCTACAGGGAGACCCTGTTTTGAAAAGACCAAAAAAAAAAGAGAGAGAAAGAATTTAGTTTTTCTGGGCTGAGTGTGGTAACACATACCTTTAATCCCAGTAGAGGCGGGCAGATCTCTGAGTTCAAGGCCAGCCTGGTCTACATAGTTCCAAGCCAGCTGGGGCTACAGAGAAATGTCTCAAAAAAAAAAAACCCAAAATAAAGAATTTAGTATTTCTGTTCTTGTTCCTCTAAATGCTACACACTTTTTCAATTTTGGGGGTTGTTTTTGTTTGGTTTTGGTTGTTAAGACCTTCTCACTATGTAGGCCAGGCTGGCCTTGAATTCATGGAAATCCATCTACCTCTGCCTTCTGAGTGCTAAAATTATTGGCATGCACCACAATGCTGGGTATTTTCCCTCTTCTTATACTTTTGCTATTTTCTTCTTTATGCTAGTACCACACACAATTTTTTCTTGATTTGTGTGATCATGATTAGATTCAGATTAAAGTTTGAGGAGAGCAAGAAAATTACATTAATGATGTTGTAAGCTTCTCATTGCATGTATAGGTATCTATTCATTTAATTACTCATGATGATGACTGGCATTGTGGTGTCTTAACAGGTATCTCCACTGTACAGGGTATAACTTCTTTCTTTTATAATTAAGTTGACTACTTGTATGGATGTATGGAAGTATGGAGAGTTAGTTGTATATAGTTTGAAAGTAAATAGAATAGACTGGTGTCATTTCCAGTAATGAAACACTTTGATTTTTTTAAAATTTTATTTATGGGGCTGGAGAGATGGCTTAGCAGTTGGGAGCACTGACTGGTCTTGCAGAGGACCCGGGCTCGATTCCCAGCACCCACATGGCGGCTACCAACTGTTCTTAACTGCAGTTCCACGGGAATCTGAAGCCTCTTCTGACCTCTGCAGCATTGCACGACACAGGTGCATTCACATACATGCAGGCAGTACACTCATATACATAAAATAAAAATAATGAAATAGTTTAAATTTTTTTATTTATTATTTTTGTTTTATGTATGTGAGTGTATTGTCTGCATGTGTCTAAGTGTACCTGTGTCATGCAATGCCTGCAGAGTCAGAAGAAGGCATCAGATTCCCTGTAACTGGAGTTACACATGGTTTTTAGCCGCTGTGTGGGTGCTGGGAATTGAACCAGGGTCCTCTGCAAGAGCAGTCAGTGCTCTTAAACACTGAGCCATCTCTCCAGCCCTAAAACAGTTTGATTTTAACAAATGATCAATCTGATTTTATAGTTAGTATGTGCAATATTTTTGGTCTAAAATATAATTGACATTATTTGCTACATACACGAGATATTTATCAAAAGATGGTCTGCAGTATCTAAAATACATTTGTCAATATCTCTTGATTGGAAAGAATACACTTAGATTCTCTATGTGTATTTATGAAACAATGTCAGGTAGATTCCAGTAGTGCGTGGGCTTGAGCAATGGCAGTTCTCATTTTGTGGTATGTATGAGTGATAGTTTGTTTCTTCAGAATTGGTTTGCATAAATTTAGCCTGAGATTACTCAAAAAGATTAACTGTAGAACAACTCAGACCTTTTTTCACTTGGGAAAAATCAATTTAATGAAGAGTAAATAGACCATTGTCTATAATCCAAACTTTAGCAATATACATAGTCAAAACAGTCCTGTAAGATTCACCACCTCATTTTAGTAGCATCTTTAATTGGGTTCAAAATGCATGTATACGTCACACTGCCTAAAGCAACCCAACCACTTTTCTTGGAACCATACTGTATCAACCATAGCTGTAGTTCTGTGGCAGTTCTTTGCCACTGGAGTACGCTTGTGCTTTGAGCTTCACTGTCCTCTCATGTTATACATAAAATACTTTTTTTTCTTCCTACTTCTCATATGTTTATATATATATATATATATAGTCATTTGTGATTTCCTTGCCTTTTTTTCCCTTGACTAGAAAATGTATATATTGCTGAGTGTCAAATACTACTACATCTTTTATTCCATTCACTGTTTAGGCTTTGGGGTGAGCCTGTTAATCTTCGTGAACAACATGATGCTTTGGAGTTTTTTAATTCATTGGTGGATAGTTTAGATGAAGCTTTAAAAGCCTTAGGACACCCTGCTATGCTAAGTAAAGTCTTAGGAGGTTCCTTTGCTGATCAGAAGATTTGCCAAGGTTGCCCACATAGGTAAGTGCTAATATATAATACTGTTCTATGCTAACAAAACCAAAATTCTTACTAGTACTAGTACAAAATGGAATAAGCCACTGTTCATTAAACACCCACAACTGAATAAATTACATTCTGTGCATTATCTCATTGTTGTGGGATGCTTTCTTACTTTAGCAAATAACTTGATTCATTTTACTCTGCTTAATTACTTACTATTTCATACTTTATATTCTAAGAAACTAAGATTACATTTTACATACAGCTAGAGATGTTAATTACATGTTTGCATTTTATCTTAGAATTTAATATTATAAATATATCAAGTTTAGAGAATGACAGGCTTGAGGTATTTTTTCCTATTCAAATAAAATACTTTAAAAAACAGTTTCAGCTATTAGCATCATTCTTCAGGGGGGGTATATATGTGTATACAGGTTGAGGGGGAAAATGTTTTTGTTGCTGTAACTTTTAAAGGGAAATTAAGTTCTGGGTGTAGTGGCCCTCGCCTGTAATCCCAGCACTAGAGAGCCTGAAGCAGTAGGACTGAGACTTTGAGGCCAGAATGGGCTACAGAATGTGACTCTTATCTTTCTTTTTTTCTTTTTTTTTTTTTAAGGTAAGGATGATTATTTAAAAAAAAATAGCTAAAGAAAAAAAAAAGCCAGGCATGGTGGCAACACCTTTAATTTCATCACTTGGGAAGCAAAGACAGATGGAGATCTGTGAGTTCGAGGCCAGCCATAGGTCCTTAGTGAGACCCTGTCTTTAAAACAAACGGGCTGGAGAGATGGCTCAGTGCTTAAGAAAATTGCTTGCTTTGCAGAAGACCCAGGTTCAAATCCCAGAACCTATATGGGGGCTAACAACCATCTGTAACTACAATGCCAGGAGGTCTGACACCCTCTTCTGCCTTCTGTGGGTACTGCACAACATGGGTGCACTTACATACATGCAGGCCATTCAGACACACAAAATAAAAGTAAATAAATTGGGAAAACAAAAAGCAACTAAAAGTATGCATTCTGTATGCACTAATGAACACAAAATTCTGACTCTTCACATCAAAGTTTTGTTTTGCATGCTAATTAAAGGGGGGCTCAAAAGAAGGCTCAGTAGTTAGTGTTTACTGCTCTTACAGAGGACCCACATCTAGCAGCTCATAACTACCTGTAACTCTAGCTCCAAGGGATCTGATACTCTCTTCTGGCTTCTGAAGGCACTAAAATCAGAGTGCTGTGCATATGTATTAACACTTACTTGCAGGCAAAACACTCATACATATAAAAATAACAAAATTTAAATTTTTTTGGTCTCTTTGAGACAGGGTCTTCCTGTAGCCCCAGCTGGCCTGGAATTTGCTATGTAGACCAGACTGGTCTTGAACCTACAGAGATCTGCTTGCCTCTGCCTCCCAGTCCTTGGATTAAAGGCAGCATTTGCCACCATGCCCAGCTAATTTTTTTTATTTTTTTAATTGAGGTCTGGTAAGATGGCTCAGCCAGTCAGGGCACTTGCAGTGCACACCTGACAACATGATTTCAATCCCTGGAATCCATGTAAACGTGGAAGGACAGAATCAACTCTACAAAGTTGTTTTCTGACCTAAACATGAATGCAGTGTATATGCAGCCACATATACACTAGTAACACATTTTTAAAATTGTTTTTCATTAATTTTTTTAAACCAAAGTTTTATTTGGGCTTAATTCATTTATGTTGTCATTTAATGTTGGTTTGGCCAGCCCTTTTCACCAAAATATAAAATGGTGTTTTAGGGCCGGTGAGATGCCTCAGGTAGTAAAGGCACTTGCCACCAAGCTAGTGTTTTGTTGTTGTTGTTGTTGTTGTATATCATAAAGAACCGCGAGTCTATGGAGGATTTTATTTTCCTAGAATAAGAGTCAGCAAACTGTCAAACATGGACCTAATCCAGCCTGACACTGTCTCTCTAAAGTTTTATTGGAACATGCTCACTGAATTACGTACTTTGCTAGAACGGCAAAATAAAGCAGTTGCCACAAAGTCTATGGGGCCCATAAATACTGTCTAAAGAAACCACACTTACAAGCAACATGATATGAACAAAAGAGCTTAAACTTGTAATGTAATGTAAGCCCAAATAGACCTGGCTTCAAAATTCCATTTCTTGTAATTACTTGGACCAAGATAACTTTTTAGAACCTATTTCCCTGCAGTGAAGATGCAGTAGTTCTCAAGCAGTTTTGTTGCAAAGACAAAGAACCTGTCATATAAAATGTGTAATTAGCCTACTATAGTGACTGATATAGTCTAAGTACCCAAGAAATGTTGTCAGTATTGACAGCATTAAAGGTTCTTAGCCTAAATATTATAAATGTAGTTTGCATTAAGTCCATGGCTAAATAAAATGTTTAGAGAGCTGAAGAGTAAGCCTTTTGTTTGTTGTTGTTGTTGGGTTTTTTTTGTTTGTTTTTTTATTTTAAGATGGGTCTCTCTGTGTCACCAGCTAGCCTAGAACTCACAGAGAACTACCTGCCTCTGCCTCTGCCTCAGAGTGCTGGGATTAAAGGCTTGTGTCACCACGCCCATCTCGAGTAAATCCTTTTTGATCATTTCTTAATTTCTTTAGGTACGAATGTGAAGAATCTTTTACCACTCTCAACGTAGATATTAGAAACCACCAAAATCTTCTTGATTCTTTGGAACAGTATGTCAAAGGAGATTTACTAGAAGGGGCAAATGCATATCATTGTGAAAAATGCAATAAAAAGGTATGGATTGTCTGTTAAAATAATTGTTATCCCTAACTAAGGAGCTTTTCACAGTTGATGGCTTCTGGGGGAGATAGAGCCAGTTTTCTTTAAGGGCGTGACTCCTGGCAGGTAGGCCATGCTCCAGTAGATTTCCCCACACCTAGGAGTACATGCAGTCAGCACAAATTGGACTCCGGATTATTTTTTTTAATTAGTTAGGAGGTAGGATTGAATCTGAGAGGAGTTAGGAGAGGACTGGGGTGAATATGATCAAATACACTGTATGACATTCTCAAAGAATTAATGAAAGTGTCTTAAAAATGATACATAATTTTGAAGGAGTTGGTTTTCATCCTCAAAGTTCACACTTTTTTCCCCATCTTCCTTTGTCATAGTGATTAAAGAGTCAATTAAGATGATAATTGATGTAGAAGTTTATTTGGTGAAGACATTTAAGAAGTGCTGACTTCAGGCAGGTGGATCTCTGTGAGTTCGAGTCCAGCCTGGTCTCCATTAGCGAATCCAGGCCAGCTGTGGCTACAGGGAGACCTTGTCTCAAAAAGACCAAAAAAAAAAAAAAAAGAATAACTACAAATATCAAAGAAGCAGTAATGGCTAAATGGCAAGGACAATATAAAAACCATACAAAAGTAATGATGTATCACTAAGTTTTGCAATTTTTAGTAAGTGGCATAGACCACTTCCATATTTTTAACTTCAGTTAATATTTACATCAACTCACAGAATTGCCTTATGTTTTTATCATAAATTTGATTACAGTTGACAGTTCGAAGTAAGACTTAGAAAACTTTTGTTGTGCCATCTCAGAATTTGTTTGAAGTTAGACATAATGGCTCACACTGGGAATGTCCCAACACAAGGGAGGCTAGGGCAGGCAGCAAGTTTGCTGCAAGTTCGAGGCCAGCCTGGGCTATATAGTGAATCTAAGGCCATTTGGAGCTACAGTGTAAGGCCCCTTCTCAAGAGAAGTTTGCTTGGTCCCACTCCTGGTGGCACAGGCCTGTAATCTCAACTACCTAGGAAGCTGAGGCAGGAGGATCATGAGTTTAAGGCCCATTTGGGCTTACAGAGCAAGTTGAAAGACTGGGCAAAAAAGAGAACTGGAGGGGATAGCTCACGGTTGAATGCTTGCTTAGCATGTATAACATCCTAAGTTTCCTTTGGAGTATTGGGGGGAGGGGAGAAATTTCTTGGGTTTTGTTTTTTTGCAATGGATTACTATCAGGTAATTTTCTCTGTTGATTTTAGGTTGATACTGTAAAGCGCTTACTAATTAAAAAGTTGCCTCCTGTTCTTGCTATCCAACTAAAACGATTCGACTATGACTGGGAAAGAGAATGTGCAATCAAGTTCAATGATTACTTCGAATTTCCTCGAGAGTTAGACATGGAACCTTACACAGTTGCAGGTGTTGCTAAGCTGGAGGGCGATAATGTAAACCCAGAGAGTCAGTTGATACAACAGAACGAACAGTCTGAAAGCGAGGCAGCAGGAAGCACAAAATACAGACTTGTGGGTGTGCTTGTGCACAGTGGTCAAGCAAGTGGAGGGCATTATTACTCTTACATCATTCAAAGAAATGGTGGAGATGGTGAAAGAAATCGCTGGTATAAATTTGATGATGGAGATGTAACAGAGTGTAAAATGGATGATGATGAAGAAATGAAAAACCAGTGTTTTGGTGGCGAATACATGGGAGAAGTGTTTGATCACATGATGAAGCGCATGTCATACAGGCGCCAGAAAAGGTGGTGGAATGCTTATATACTTTTTTATGAACGAATGGACACAATAGATCAAGATGATGAGTTGATAAGATATATATCAGAGCTTGCTGTCACCACAAGGCCCCATCAGATTGTCATGCCGTCAGCCATTGAGAGAAGTGTACGGAAGCAGAATGTACAATTCATGCATAACCGAATGCAGTACAGTCTGGAATATTTTCAGTTTATGAAAAAACTACTTACATGTAATGGTGTTTACTTAAACCCTCCTCCAGGTAAATGTCAAGGGTTTTCTTATAATAAAGAGAAGTTTTTACAAGATTACCTAGTGGGCATAGAATCATGATTGATATTTTCATTTTAAACGGCTCTAAATTTTTTCTTTGAGTTAAAGTCACATTTACCCTGACTTATATTTGAGCAATATACTGTTTGGAGACAGAGCTTTTTGTTTGTTGTAGCGATTTGACTCTTGCATTAGTTTATAAAGTATGTTGTATTGAGCCGATACAAGAATAAAAATTTTATATGTAAGTAACCTAAGAAGCGCTTTCTTGATGTTAACAAATTTTGTACTCTTCACAATACAAACTAGTTTCACAATACAAACTAGTTTGAAAATGGGGCTTGAATATAAGTTTTTTTAATATTTGCAATTTTCTTTTTAAATAGGACAAGATCACCTGTCTCCTGAAGCAGAAGAAATCACTATGATTAGTATTCAACTTGCTGCTAGGTTCCTCTTTACTACAGGATTTCACACAAAGAAAATAGTTCGTGGATCTGCCAGTGATTGGTACTTTGCTTTGGATTATTCCTAAAAAATTAAAATTTGGTGTGGCTCTTTAATAAACTGCTCTAGCTTTTGAACAATAAGTCTCATGGTTTCAAAAGCTAGAGCAGTTTATTAGACTATTGTTTCCATCAAAAATGCAGAATAAGCCAGGTGTGGTGGCACACGCCTTTAATCCCAGCACAGGCAAATCTCTGTGAGTTCAAGGCCAGCCTGGTCTACACAGTGAGTTCCAGGCCAGCTGGGGCTACAGGGAGACACCACCACCACCAAAAAAAATGCAGACTTAAAAAAATTATACTGAGAGAAATCATACTAAAATAAAATAATTGGTATTTGTTAGGCATTTTATAATTCAGGTACTGACTCCTCCTATTAAACTTGTTAAAAGTATAGAAGCCATTATAATCTTTTTAATAAGTTTTACTCAGGACCAGTGAGATGACTCATTGAGGGAAGAGTCTTGCTACCAAACCTGACAATCTGAGTTTGATTTTTTTCTTTCTTTTCATTTATTTATTTTTTATTTCTTTTGGTCTTTTTCAGACAGGGTCTTCCTGTAGCCCCAGCTGTCCTGGAACTCACTATGTAGACCAGGCTAGCCTTGAACTCACAGAGATCCACCTGCCTCTGCCTCCCAAGTGCTGGTATTAAAGGCGTGCGCCACCACACCCAGCCTGAGTTAGATCTTTAGAGCCCACATAGAAGGAAAGAACTAATTCTTAGCAAATAGTCCTCTTACCTACACATACACATACAAACAAAAAAATGGGGTTTTTTTTGTTTAGCTAAAAGTAAGATACTGAAATAAGGAAAGAAGATATTTTATTCTTGAATATATATCAAGAGTTTGATAATGGGTTTTTAGTGGCCAATAACAAGCTTTCACCTATTGTATAATTCTTTTTGAATCATCCCTTTACTGTAAGGAAAAATGATGCTGAATTGAAAGTAATAGATTTGTTTTGTTTTAGGTATGATGCCTTGTGTATTCTTCTTCGTCACAGCAAGAACGTACGCTTTTGGTTTGCTCATAATGTCCTTTTTAATGTTTCAAATCGCTTTTCTGAATACCTTTTGGAATGCCCTAGTGCCGAAGTAAGGGGTGCATTTGCAAAACTTATAGTTTTTATTGCACATTTTTCCTTACAAGATGGCCCGTGTCCTTCACCTTTCGCATCTCCTGGACCTTCTAGTCAGGTAACTGTATTTTTATTTCTAATTTTGTGTTTGCAAAAATAGTGTTTCTTGGAAGTTAAACCCATATGCATGTTTTTATCTGTTTATTTATGTTAACATAAAGATATACAGCCTGATGTCTGAGTTCCATTCAGTTACATGCAGTAGCTTAATTATAACATAGATTAATGTTTGGGGAGAGGTTTTTAGTCTTTTTGAGACAGGGTCTTCCTGTAGCCCGAGCTGACCTGGAACTTGCTGTGTAAACCATGCTGGCCTTGATCTCAACAGAGATCGGCCTGCTTCTGTCCTCTCAAATGCTGGGACTAAAGATTAATGGGACTAAAGATTAACTTACAAAGTAGCATATTTCTATATGTATTTTCATAAATATTTTGGTGAATTTTTATGAACATTTTTTCTTTTCATTGCAACACTGAAAGATCTATAATGAACTCTAAAGCTGGGTGTTCTGACACATGCCTATAATCCCAGCGCTTAGGAGGCTGAAGGAGGAGGTTTAAGAGTTCAAAGCTCGGGGCTAGAGAGATGGCTCAGCAGTTAAGAGCACTGACTGCTCTTGCAGAGAACCTGGGTTTAATTCTCAGCACCCACATGGCAGCTAATAACTGTCTAATAACTCCAGTTCCAGGGGAATCCTATGCCCTCTTCTGACCACCTTGGTATTGCATGACACAGGTGCACTCAACATACATGTATGTAATACACTCACACACATAAAAAATAATAAAATATATTTAAAAGTTCAAAGCCCAACTGGTCTACATATGTAACCCCTATCTCAAAAAAAAAAAGAAGAAAAGAAAGCAACCTCTTCATTGCCTTTTCCGAGAAGCAAGCTCTTGTAATAGTGTAAAGCTAGGCCTATAGGTATAGGCCTATAAGCCCAACTGCTAAAGAGGCTAAAGCTGGAGAATTTTAAGTCCAGAGCTAGCTTAGTAAGACCTTTTCTCAAGAAGTAAGAAAGAAGAGAGTTGAGGGGCTGGAGAGATATGGCTCAGTGGTTAAGAGCACTGGCTGTTCTTAAGAGACCCAGGTTTGAATCCTAGCACCCACATGGTGGCTGACAACTGTCCATAACTCCAGTTCCATGGGATGCAGTGCCCTCTTTTGTCTTACTCGGGCACTGCATGACACGGATGCACTGACATACATGCAGACATAACACTTACACACATAGAATAAATAAATCCAAAAAAATTTTTCTAAAGAACAGTGGCATAACACTTGCCTAGCATTCACAAGTCCTTGAACTCAGCTTTAATGGGTGGAGTGAAATTCATGTAATCTGTCCTTAGAGAAAATTATGCTTATGTTCAACAAACATACATGTCCCTTACATTTTTAAAGCACAAATTCAGTTATACTTGTACCTTGCTGTTGAGAAACAGCTAATGTTTTCTCCTTTACAGGCTTATGACAACTTAAGCTTGAGTGATCACTTACTAAGAGCAGTACTAAATCTGTTGAGAAGGGAAGTTTCAGAGCATGGACGTCATTTACAGCAGTATTTCAACTTGTTTGTAATGTATGCCAATTTAGGTAAGAATTGAAATTCTCATAGTCTATTAAAGTATGCTAGATGGTAAGGTCGTTTAATTTAGGTCACATGATGAAATAGAAATCAAAGTAGACCATTTTATTTATCCAACCTGTTCTGAATTTTCTCTGATGGCAGAACTTTGCCCTGTCTACTTGATACTTATTTATATATGTGCCTTACCTTTGGAGTAAACATAAGTGAGGCTCTGTTGTCTTGAACTTATACTCGTAAAGCATCACTACCACATCTGGCTTCTTTTTGAACATTTTTGAACATGCTCATTCCTAAGCCTTATCCACACAAATGAATCAGAATTCCCAGTTATATTGCAAAAAAAAAAAAAGCCATATTTTCAAAAGCTTCCCCAGATGTTTGTGGTATTCCTCAACTTTGAGTAGAGATCTGGAATATATTATTGCTGTTGAAGTAAACTAAATTTAAAGGTGAGAAAATAGAAATATCCACTTACAGTGCTGGGGGTGTAGTTGAGTGGCAGAGCATCTGCCAAGCACATATGAAGCCCTAAGCTTGACTTCCAGGACCACCGAACCAAAAATCAATCACTTAAGAATTCACTTAGCTGGGTGTGGTAGCACACACCTTTAATCCCAGCACTTGGAGGCAGAGGCAGGTGATCTCTGTGAGTTTGAGGCCTGCCTGGTCTACATAGCAAGTTCCAGGCCAGCTGGGTCTACAGGGAAACCCTGTCTCAAACAGACCAAAAACAAAAGAGAATTCACTTAAGGGGCTGGAGAGATGGCTCAGCAGTTAAGAGCACTGGCTGTTGGAGCAGAAGACCGGGGTTCAAATCCCAGCACCCACATGGCAACTAACAACCATCCATAACTCCTGTTAAGGGGATGCTATGCCCTCTTCTGACCTCCAAGAACATTGCATGACACAGGTGCACTTAACATATATGCAGGCAATACACTCATGTATAAAATATAATAAAAAATTTTTTTAAAGAATTCACGTAAATCACTCATTTTTGTCTCTGTATGACAACTTGCCTCCCTGAAGAAGTGTGGTCGTTCTAGCATCACCTGGTCATTCCTGTTCAGTGATTAATAGATCAATTTTGCCACGTATTCTGTTGTGTTGTCTTTCAAAACACAAAATATTGGAGATGGAATTCAGTGGGCGAACATTTACCTAACATAAGCACAGGCCTAGGTTCAGTCTCCAGTGCAGTAAAAGAAAAGGGTGGGGAGGTATGCATAGTCTCAATCAGTAAATGTATGTTGGTTAAATGGAGGTAAGGAATGTAATTTTTAAATTATTACACTGTTATTTTAATTAACTTGGAGAGGAGGAGATAAATTTCCTATGGTAGAAAACAGAAGTTGCCAATAAGGTGTTGGTGTTACTGACCCCAACATTACTACTTTTGACAAATTCCATAACACAAGTAGTAAATTTCTTACCCTAGTCAAATAGATCTCTTAAGTACAAGTAAAAGCAATGTGCTTCTGACCATAAAAAGTTAAAATGCCCTACAACAAAGAGGACTGGGGCGTTCTTATCTCCAGAACCCATGTAAATACTGGTTAGGCATGGTAGTTTGCCTGTGATTCCAGGTGAAGACCAGGGACACCCACCCCCGCCCAGAGCTCTGGGTTTGATTTAGAGGCCTTGCCTCAAAGGATAAGGTGGAAGATTAAGCTTTCTCTCTCTCTCTCTCTCTCTCTCTCTCTCTAAGAAGGGGGGAAAGTGATAGATATTTTTAATAGCTTTTTTTATTTGAGAAGTTCTTGCCATCCTGATTTTTTTCCTCTTCTTAACTGCAGGAGTGGCGGAGAAGACACAGCTGCTGAAACTGAGTGTACCTGCTACCTTTATGCTTGTTTCTTTAGATGAAGGTCCTGGGCCTCCAATTAAATATCAGTATGCTGAGTTAGGCAAATTATACTCAGTAGTGTCACAGCTAATCCGCTGTTGCAATGTCTCTTCAAGAATGCAGTCTTCAATCAATGGTAAAGTATTCTTGGCAATAGTTTTTGAATGCTGGGAGTCTTATCGAGAACGGATCAAACAATTCAGGAGATGGCTTAAATACAAAGGGAGAGTCTGAAAGAAGGTCCATACTTCAAAAGTTTACAATATTTGCAGCTCTGCCAGATGTGGTAATGCACGCCTTTAATCCCAGCTCTGAGTTTGAGGCCACCCTGGTCTAAATAACAAATTCCAGGCCAGCTGGGGCTACAAGGGAGACTCTGTCTCAAAAAGACCAAAACCCATAAAAAGCACCAGTATTTGCAGCTCTGTGCCTTTTTCACGTGTTTAGTAGGGATCCTTTTTCCACTTGACTATCTTGTTACATCTAATCATTGTAATGTATACTACTACATTTCTTCATTATGCTTAGGAAATGTGATTTACAGTATTATTTTTCTAAACTAAGTTCACAGGGTATTTTCTGTGAAGAATGAATTGTCTGTCTTTCATTGGTGGTACGTGCCTTTAATTTCAGCATTCTGGAAGGCAGAGGCAAGTCGATCTCTGTGAGATTGAGGCAAGCTAGGGAGGGTATAGGGAGACAAAGGCATTGTTAGCTTACTAGTTGTTGATTGATGACAAATCTTTTTTAGGCAATCCTCCTCTTCCAAATCCTTTTGGTGATCCTAATTTATCTCAACCTATAATGCCAATTCAGCAAAATGTGGTAGACATTTTATTTGTGAGAACAAGTTATGTGAAGAAAATCATTGAAGATTGCAGTAACTCAGAGGAGACTGTCAAATTGCTTCGCTTTTGCTGCTGGGAGAATCCTCAGTTCTCATCTACTGTCCTCAGTGAACTACTTTGGCAGGTTAAAAAAAATAAATATTGATAAATCTCTTTGACTTGATTTGTTGTTATTTTATACATTATTCATTGCATTTTACCTGTTTCTAGGTTGCATATTCCTATACTTATGAACTCCGGCCCTATTTGGATCTGCTTTTACAAATCTTACTGATTGAAGACTCATGGCAGACTCACAGGTGAATAATTCCTTTTTATTTGGATAATTAATGTTATACACATCTTAACTTGACAGTCACCACATTAAAAAAACAATCTTGGGGCCAGGTAGTGCACGCATTTAATCCCAGCACTTGGCAAGGTAGAGGCAGGTGGATCTCTGAGTTCCAGGTCAGCTGGGGCTAGCTGTTTCAAAAAGACCAAAAAGAAAAAGAAAACTAGGAAAGTGGGGAGGGGGGTTCATTATTTTAGGATTAGATTACATTAGTTTTACAATTAGTTAACATGAAATAATGCGTCATCAACCAATAACAATAGTAGTCTGGTGGGGCAGCCAGATGGCTTTGTGGGTAAGGTCACTTGTTTCCTAGCGTGATGACCTGAGTTTAATCCCCAGGAACCACATGGTAGAAGGAGAGAACTAATTCTGCCAAGGTTGTAGCCTGACCTTCACAGGCACACAATAACAAATTTTTAAAAGATAAAGGACTGGGGGCTGGAGAGATGGCTCAGCGGTTAAGAACATTGGTTGTTCTTGCAGAAGACCTGGGTTCAAATCCCAGCACCCACATGGCAGCTACCAACTGTCCATAACTCCAGTCCCAGGGGATCCGACAGCCTCTTCTGAACTCCGTGGGCATTGCACTACATGGGTGCACTTATCTGCATGCAGGCAATACACACATACACATAAAATAAAAATTATATATATACAAGATAGAGAGGGCTGGAGTGATGACTTAGCATTTAAGAGCACTGGCTTCTCTTGCAGAGGACCCAAGGTCCAGGCCAGCTGGGGCTATTTTTGTCTCAAAAAGACCAAAAATAAAATAATAAATGTAAAAGTTTTAAGCACCTTAATTAATATATACTGTTAACTCCTTAACATTGAACTTAGAACCAGCCGATTTTACAACTCGGGCCTGAACTGAGCTTTTCTAGTGCACAATCTCTGTAAGGTACAGTTTAGGAACGCTAGACAGCACCTCAGTGTTGCATTTGAGAGCCATTTAAAACTGCAAAGGAGGACACTTGCCAGAAGTTAAGCTGAAACCTCCTCTAGGAAAGTGCAGGTTTATCACCAAAGGATTTGAAACTTTTTTCCTGAGATGCTTTTAAAGTAATCTAGCTTTTACAATTTTCCATTTGAAAATAGAAGAATGCATGTAGCTTTCATTCATACATGCATCTAACTAAGCTCTCTTTTAATGTTTTATTATTTTCATTCTATGTGCATGAGTGTCTTGCCTGCATGTGAGTGCACCCGTGTTGTGCAGTGCCATGGAGGTCAGAAGAGGGCTTTGGATTCCCCTGGAACTGGAGTTAAGGATGGTTCGTAGCCGCCATGTGGGTGCTGGGAATCGAACCTGGGTCCTCTGCAAGAGCAGTCTCTCCAGCCCCTAAGCTCTCTTGTTTCATTAGCACATGATGTAGTAAAAAACATGTTAGATTAAATGTGAGAAGTAACTCATGTAGTCAGATAGTAGAAAATACCATTCATTACTATTGACTCAAGCTTAAAAATAATTTCATTGTGAGCTTTTTAGTTCATTTGGTAAACATTGCTAGGGGGAGAGGAAACAACGTAGATAAAGATAATATCAAACATATTATTTGAAATTTGTTGGTATTAGTGGGAAGAAAATGTGATGTGGTAGATGCAATAATTTAGTACTTCATATCAGTTGACAAAGATTAAGGTAGAGAGGTGTGGCTCAGTGGCAGAGTACTTGCCTATTATGTATTAGGCTGGGCCCTAGGTTCTACCCTCAGCACCCCTCTCCCCCAAGAAAGAATTGATGGAGAAACAGGCTTTATGTGTGGTGTTTGAGATTAAACAGCAAGAAGCATATATATATCCACTTAGTCATTCCCAGTCTGTCCAGACCCCTAACTACCACTAATCTGCCTGCTTCAATGAATTTCCCTATTCTCATCATTTTGACATGATAGAATAATAGTATTTGGTATTTTGTATCTGGTTGCTTTACCTCAGCATAATTTTTACACTGTTCTTCCATATTACAGCATGTATCCTTTTATGGCTAAATAGTGCTTGGTCTCATGGGTATATATTGTATTTTTTTTAATTGGTGGGTGAAGGCTAACACAAACAGGCACTGGGTATGGTGGTACGTGCATGTAATTTCAACAATTGGTAGGCTGAGGCAGGATTGAGAGTTCAAGGCCATCCTGAGACCTTGACTCCAAAAAAAGAATTACCTAGAACAAATTATTCTGAACTACAGCATCTGTGAACCTAATTGTTAACTTTAAAAAAAAAAATATGCTGTACTCTTGACTGTCCTGAATTTGCGTCTGGTAATGTCTTTAAATTTTACATCAAAATTGTTTTGGACTTGTAATAAACGGCACAGACTTGGGTCAGACTGGTTTGCAGCTGCATGACCTTGGGCAAGCTGTTGACGAATTTTCTCATCTGCTCAAGGGTTTAATAATAGTACTGTCCAGTGTGAAACAACTAGACCCATAGATCCTTGGGGATGGCATGTAATAGACACTCAAATGTTAGCTTCTATTAGATTTTAGAAGTTTTTATCTTCTATCTGATTGTCTTTCAGAATTCATAATGCCCTTAAAGGAATTCCAGATGATCGAGATGGGCTGTTTGACACAATCCAGCGTTCTAAGAATCACTATCAAAAAAGAGCATACCAGTGTATAAAATGTATGGTAGCTCTCTTTAGCAATTGTCCTGTTGCTTACCAAATCCTGCAGGTGAGAGTATTTTCTTATAATTTCATAAAAATTCACATCAGAATTAAAGGTCCTGTTTTAAGGGGCTAGGGCTGTAGCTCTGCAGTAAAGTGTGTGCCCAGCATGTACAAAGCCCTGGGGGTTCAATCCCCAGCATCATAAACCAAAAAAAAAGGGGGAAATGACATTAAGGTCCTGTTTTAAGCCAGGCATGGTGGGTGCATGCCTGTAATCCCAGTACTCAAGGCTAAGGCAAGAAAGGACAGCCCCAAGTTCAAAGACAGCCTGTGTTACATAGAATTACTAGGCAGCCAGGGCAGCATAGCAAGGCTCTCTTAAAAGAAAATGGGAAGATTGAATAGAACCCTGAGGATATGGGGTTGTCATATTGTTACATTTGAGATATTCCAAATTCTTACGGTTTTATTTTCTTTTGAAGGGCAATGGAGATCTTAAAAGGAAATGGACCTGGGCAGTGGAATGGCTTGGAGATGAACTTGAAAGAAGACCCTACACTGGCAATCCTCAATATACTTATAATAATTGGTCTCCTCCAGTGCAAAGCAATGAAACATCAAATGGCTATTTCTTGGAGCGATCACATAGCGCTAGGATGACACTTGCAAAAGCTTGTGAACTCTG